TCTGATTATGCATCTCACCCAATCGATCTCACGATCGAGCTTACTATCGATCTCAGTATTCATGCCAATCAATCGATGTAACGATCGATATCACGATTGCTATTCCGACCGATCTCCCTGTCGATATTAGTATCGATCCCACGATCCATCTCACGATCGATCTCACGATCGCTCTCATCATCGATTTCACGATCGTTGCCACTATCAATATGACTATCGATAGCAGTATCGATCCCGCTGTCAATCTCACTACAGATCGCACAATCGATAGCACAGCCGATATCACGATCGACCTCACGATCGATTTCAAGATCGACCCCACGAGCTATCTCACGATGGATCTCACTATCGATCCCACTATCCAAGTCACTCGAGCGATCTCACATCCGATCTCACCATCGATCTCCCAGGCGACCTCACCACGGATCTCACTATCCATGTCATGTAACCGATTTCGCTACCGATCTCACTATCGAGTACACGACCAATCTAATGTTTGATCTCACGATCGGTATCGATCCAACAATCGACCTCACTATCAATATCGCGATCAACCCCACGATCGATGTCACAATCGAGTTCACATAACTAATAACACTTCTTATTTCACTACCAATCGCAATACCGATCCCACGATCGACCTCACTCAATGGATCTCAATATCGATTTCGCCATCGATCACATGATCGACCTCAATGTCGCTAGCATAACACAACATGACATAACAAATAACATATCACGGGGTACCCCTGCGCAGCGGGACGCCACGGGAAAGAGAGAGAGAGAGAGACAGAGAGAGAGAGAGAGACCGACGGGGGGGGGGAGAGAGAGAGAGAGAGAGAGAGAGGGACAGAGAGAGAGAGAGAGATAATAACCAACAGAGACAAACGATTCCTTTTGAAACAGGGTATCTTTCAGTAAAGGTCCCTGTAGCGTGGATTTGCTCATGCTTTTTGTCGTAAGGGCCCATTAGTCCGGATGTCTTCAGTAATGGATCCCTTGCAGCAGTGATGTTAGCAATACGTTCGTAGGGGTGGTCCATTTAATGCCCCCTCGGTAAGGCCCCTGTAGTAATGTCCCCTTGCTACTATGTTATTGATACATGGCCCCTTACGCAAGACGCGGGTTCCCGGACAAAAGCACTTGAATTAAGGGATCCTTTGTACGGGTACTTCTGGTGAGGCATCCTCACTGGTGGTGGCATAAGAAAAGGACCCTTTCAGTAAGAATCCCCTGTAGTGAGGAATCCTTTGTGATGCTTCCTGTAGTGAGGGTTCCTTGCGATGGGCGCCTTCTGCAGAGCCTCCCGAACAATAATTCGGTTTGCAAGGGTTCCTCCGTCAGGATATGTTGTGCGTGGGGTGGTGGTGGTGGTGGGCAACCAAAAAATGAAACAGTCTGTTGTCAGACTGTGGCAAGTTGTTTCTCCCAGCCACCCCCATTGCCAACCGCCACCACCGCTGGACTGGGACTGCGGGAAACGTTGCGGACTTCGCGGAAGGTCGTGGTATGGGCCCAACAGCAAGGGATCTTTAGTGAGCGTTTCTAGAGAGAGCGCGAGAGAGAGAGAGAAAAAAAAAAGAAAAAAAGAGAGAGGGAGAGAGGAATTGAGAGAGAGAGAGACGCCGAGTACAGATGTTTGTAATCGGAGGTTGGGGGGTGAGATCGCAGTGAAACGGAGATCCCCCACCAGGAAATCGGTTTCGGTTTCGTGTTCGTGTCGTGCGTGCGGGCAAGGCGAAGCTGCGCGTGATCCTCCCGTAGCTAGGCCGAAGTAGGAGCGAAAGTCCCTCTGTCCGCCGGTGGTTGGGAAGTGTCCCAGTTGGGCCGGGCGGTGTCCCCGGTGTCCCGGGTGTCAGTAGGAGCGATAATCCGTTTCCCGTCCGCCGGTGGCTGGGAGGTGTCCCAGTTGGGCCGGGCGGTGTCCCGGGTGTCCAGGGCGTCCTGGCGCCAACGCATGTCGCTAATTTCATAATTCATGTTTTTCGGCGCCTGTGGCGGGCTTGCTTATTCAATCCAGCTTATCATATCCAATCCACCTTGTCCAATCCAATCCATCTTATCTTATCCAACCCATCTTGTCCCATCTGATCTTATCCCACCCAATCCAATCTACCCAACCCAATCCATCAATTCATTTGTTTCTGCGCCTGCGGCGGGCCAATCCAATCCATCAATCCATCTTATAGTATCCAGTCCATTTCTTCCAATCCAATATATCTTATCTTATCCTAACCACCTTATCCCATCCAATCCAATCCACCCAACCCAATCCATCAATTCATGTTTGTCCGCACCTACGGCGGGCTTTGTAATCCAATCCAGCTTATCATATCCAATCCATCTTGTCCAATCCAATCCATCTTATCATATCCAACCCATATTGTCCCATCTTATCTTATCCCACCCAATCTAATCCACTCAACCCAATCCATCAATTCATGTGTTTCCGCGCCTGCGGCGGACCAATCCCATCCATCTTATCTTATCCAATACATCTCTTCCAATCCAACCCATCTTATCTGATCCAATCCATCTTACCCCATCCGATCCAATCCAATCCACCCAACCCAATCCATCAACTCATTATGCTTTTGAGGTCGATAGTGCGATCGACAGTGGGATTCACCGATAGGACGGTCGACGGTTAGGTAGATAGTGGGATATCATCGTCATCGCGATCATCATTGTGGTGGAGGGAGACTCTGATAGAAAGGGACAGAGGGAGAGAGGGCGAGAGAGAGAGTGAGAGAGACAGAGAGAGAGAGAGAGAGACAGAGAGAGAGAGATGAGATCAAGGTGACAGGATGGAGGTCAGTCAGGGTGGGCATTTGATCGCAATCGCCCGCAGGGCGGTCGTATAGGTATAACATGTCATTCGAAGGGATGCCTTTTAGCAAGGCACCCGTGAACACAAATCCCTTTCACTGGGGGATCCTTATGAGGATGCCTTTAGTTCGAGTTCGTCAGTAAGGGTTCATCGAGGGGTCCTTACCAAGGACTCCTTCAATGAAGAACCCTTATTAAGGGCGCCTTTAAATCAGTATCCCCTCAGTAAGGGTCCCTTAGTTAGTGTTCACTGCACATGCTTCCTGTAATAGTGGGTCCTCAGTAAGGATGCCCTGAGCAAGGGATCCAGAGGAAGGGTGCTTTCAGCAAGGTCTCCTGAATGGTTGTGCATTTAGTGAGGATCCCCTCGGCAAGGGCCGCTGCAATAAGGACTCAAGGGTTCTTTGGGGGAGCCTGTGGACGCGTCTGGTTTTGCACTCAGCTTCCCAGTCGCCGCCGTCGTCGTAGTCATCCTCGTGGTCGTCCTGGGGGGAATCTTTTTTGTAGTTTTTGGAGCGATGCACTGGGACAGGGGGTCGCGCTTGGGGGCTTCGCGGAAGAAAGGAGTCTGAGACGACCTCCTGGCGACCTCCTGGGGTCGCCCCGCATTCGCCCAGCCCGAGAGGTACGGACGCAGGGAAACGGAGAGAGAGGGAGAGAGAGAGAGAGGGAAAAAGAGAGAGAGAGAGAGAGAGATAAGAAGAGGGATAATGAAAAAGAGAGAAGGACAATTAAATTGTGAATTTCGCAGGGGGGATTCGACCCTGCAACCGGAGTGCGCACTGTGGCCCAGTGGGGGTGGGGATCGATAACACGATGCTGAGCGTGATTGGGTTTGCCCCCCCCCCGCTCGCGCCGGCGCTCCCCCGAAAAGCACTGCGCACCCGAAGATCACATCCTGGGAAGTGCCACTCTCACGGTGCAGCGAGACCCAGGCTCCCCGCCGCCGCGGCCTCGTCACGAAGTGGGCCCCCCAAATCTCGACCTCTTCCCCAGGCAAGGACTGGCAACTCATCCCGATGCGTTTTCTGACGGGCCCGGGGCCCAGTTTGAGTGCCCCCGGAGGCCAGACATGGCCGAGGACGCGTCCTGCCGCGACTCACTCGCGACTCGAGGGCCAGGGGGGAGCGGCGGGCCCCGGAGGTCCCCGCCGCTCCCGTGGGGGCAATGTTCTGTTCGCCGCGGATGCGTTTTTTGACGGCCCCCGGGCCCGAGAACGGCCCCGCCGGAGGCCGAGACTGAGAAACCACTCGCGGCTGGAAAACGGCGGCCGTGAAGGGGAAGGACAAGGGGGGGGGGGGCTAGCGCAAGGGGGAAGCATCGGCCTGGGACGGGCGATGCATCGCCGATGGATCGGCGATGGGCCCGCGGGGGCGGCGAAGCCGCGCGGTCCTGGGCGGCGTGTGCCACCTCTGGCCCCTGTCGGCGATGCATGGGCTGGTGGGGGGTCGAGGCATTCCACCCGCCTCCCACGAGCCTGCCTCCCCCCAGCGTTGAGGATACCAAAAGGTACCGACACCGCTACTCCCCGGGCCTCTCCTGGGGTGCGTTCTGACCAGGATTTCGAAGGGGAATCCAGCGGTGGCGACGAGGGCCGCCCAGGAGGCACACAAAAGAGGAAAACGGGCGGACGGTAGCGGTATCGGTACCTTTTCCTCCTCTGAAGCGTTGCCTGGGGGCTTCTGGGCCAGAACTCGGGCCTCCAGCGGTCGATCGGGACCATCCGGGCAATCCCCGACGCTTCTCGGCAAGGCGAGGAGGAGGAGGAGGAGGAGGAGGAGGAGGATAATCACCGACAGCCTATTCCCTGCGCCGCGCCCTGCGCGGCACCTGGCTACTTTCGCGCGCCGCGCTTCCAATCTCGGCGCGAAGCACACGCGCTCCACCGCGGCGCGAAGCGCACGCAGGCTGCCCGCTCCTCCGCGCGCGCGCGCGGAGGAGGAGGAGGAGGAGGAGGAGGAGGAGGAGGAGGAGGAGGAGGAGGAGGAGGAGGAGGAGCACACGCTGGAGCGCACCCCGAGGTCAGAAGACCAGCGAGAGCCGACGAGAGAACGCCCGCAGGCCTCTCAAACCTCGGTCCCGAGGAAGTCGCCCCTCCTCCTCCTCCTCCTCCTCCTTCTCCTCCTCCTCCTCCTCCTCCTCCTCCTCCTCCTCAGTGCAGCGGACCCCGCCTGCACGCCGGTGAAGCGCGCGTCCAGATCGCCAATCTGGCTGCGGAGGTCGTTCAGCTCCCGCTGAAGGGTGCCCTCCTGCAGGGAGGGGAGGTCTCCGTCGGAGGTCGTCGCGGTCGCGGCGGCCGTCGTCGTCGTCGTCGTCGTCGTCGTCGTCGTCGTCGTCGTCGTCGTCGTCGTCGTCGTCGTCGTCGTCGTCTCGGTCGCAGTTGCGTCGCCACGGCTGAATTCGCCCGCGATTCCTGGTCAGAATGTGCTCCAGGACAAGGACAGTAGCGGACACCATAAGGTGCAAACAACTTGGGACAACGTGCGCATCAAAATCTAGCCGCGAAGGAGTGCCAAAGGTACCGCCCAAGGACGAAACCGAGAAGCCTGCAGACATGCATGCTGGCAACTGACTTTTCTTCATACCAGACTTGAAATAATGGTGCCCTATAGCCTACCGGAACGGAACATCTCAACTCAGCTACTCGGCATCTCAACGGAAAGTACTGCACGAGCTTATGCGTCTTGAAACGCTGCACGTGCACACATAGTTTACAAAGAAACGTCCAGAGATGCGAAGCCTGATCTGTACCTAGATGTAAATATGCCGCTGCAGTGACCTACTCACCATTCGGATTGATATCAGTCATCATCTGCAAGAACTCATCGAAGCCGAGCTGGCCTGACCCATCCAAGTCGTACCGGATGGCAATCGCCATCAATTGGTCGTTCGGAAGTGGCAGGCCGCTTTTGGCAAAGGCAGCGCCGAGCTCCTGCAGATTGATTTTGCCCGAACGGTCCGAGTCTATAGCGACAAACTTCTTTTTCTGCTCTTTCAACCACTCCATCATCATACAAAACTGTTCGAAATTGAGGACCGCACTGCCACATCCAAATTTCTGAATTAGTCTCACGACCGTGCACTCCAGAAATGGCCGTGGAACAGAATGCATGGAAGTGTAATACATCGGGCCCAGAAAGCTTTGTTGACAAAAGCCGGATAGGTTAGCAGCCAAAGGGTTCATGGCCAGAACACTCACGGGCTCCACAGTCGCCTTGATCCGCCAGGCCCCTTGCGAGGGTACCATGATGGGAAACCATATGTCCTATCGTATTAGTCACAATGTCAAATGAATTCCCATCCCTGCCCCCGCCTAAAATTTCCACCAAACATACCCTGCCCCCGCCATTACCGCAACCCAGATTTCTGCACCACCACGGCTAGGATCCTCAATCCTGGCTGAACTTGCGAAGCAAATCCCTGCGCGCGAAAAGAAAACTGGCCCTTCCAACAATACTGAAATACTTGAACACATCATCGCTATTTTTACTCGACGGCCGCCCAACTACCCAACGCCCACCGAAACTTAGACTTGTCACCGGGAAACACTTCCTCTTGGCTAAAACTTCAGTGCCCCCCCAAATGTTGATAGGCATTCTGCCGCGCACTAAACCGCACAGCCAGAAGCTGACATCAGTATAGCCCCGCCCTCGCTAAAACAATCACTCAACGTTCCGATTTGAACCGCCACTTGAATGTCCAACCGCCGACAAAATGCCATAATTTCTCCATCATGCAATGTCCTCCCGTCGCCAACTTGCAATTTCTATAACCCCTCGATTGGGGTTGCAACCTAACATGCCTTCCCCCTCTGCGGAAAACATACTGCCATCGGGTTGCCTTGGCAAACGGACTGATCAACGTGTCAATAATTTACTTGCAACGCGTCACAGGCTGCACTGGCAAAACATATACAACCCTTGCTGCTAATAAACCTGCGATTGCGGGTGTCGCCGGGAACGGGGTGGGAGCGGGTCACAGGTAGTGCGCGGGGCTGGTCGCATATTCTGGTCACGAGGTGGGGCGCGGGTGGAACGCGAGGCGGGTCGCATGTGGGTGCGGGCGGGCCGCATGAGGGGCGAGTCGCGGGTGGGGTCTGGGGTGGGTCGCAGAGCAGGTCGCTTGGATCGCGGAGCAGGTCGCACGTGTCTCGCGGGGCGGGTCGCGGGACGGGGCGGCGGGCAGGTTGCGGGTGGGTCGCGGGGTGGGGCCGGCAACAGATAACGTGAGCCTGCACCGCGGAGCCACACTTCGGGTACGCACCCAGGGACAGTGTAAGACTGTTCGGCTCCGTCAGTCTGCTAGTCATGAATAACGGTGAGGGCATTGGGTCAGGAACCCGCAGAGAAGGAATCCAGGGTCCGGAAGCCTGTGGAACATCACCTGAGGCTTGGCCATAGAAATCACCGCCGCCCTCATCAGATGCAGAAATCCTCCAGGGTCTGAAGCCTCCTGGGCGCACTCCTTGCCGGCCGCCCCCGCCGCAGCTGCCCAGGGCAGCGATGTCGATCCCTCCCTGCCCCAAGCCCTGTGCGCGGGAGCCACCGGTGCCGCGGGATGCCCTTGCCGCGGCCAGGCCCTCAGGCAGCCCAGAGAGGACGCGCAGGGCTGCAAGCGCACGCGCGCGCACACACTTTCGCGTCGCAGCGCGGCATAGGCAGTCCGCACTCGCGCCCACGCAACCCGGGCTGCGGTGCGCACGCACACACACACACACAGGCACACACACAGACACACTTTTTGGCGTCGCGGCCCCGGGCGCAGCGACAGGGCGTCCAACACAAAGACGCACACAGACACACACAGACACAGACACATAGACACACAGACACACAACGACACAGACACACAGACATGCACAGAGACACAGAGACACAGACACACAAAGACACACGCACACAGACACGATTTCTGGCGGTAGCGACCCCCCGCGCGCAGCGACGAGGCGGACACAAGGCAAATATACGGAACGTGGAGCCGCGGCCGGGCCCTTCAGGAATCGCTTTGGACCCCACTGCACCTACCGCCATACAGCACATCTGGGCGTGGATGACGTGGCTAGAACAAACGCGCACACTTGGCGAGGTTGTCCAACCCGAGAGGTGCAATTCAACGGGTGGGGTGCAGGTCCCAGAAGCTGTGGAGGGTCGCTGTGCAAATCAGGCCCAAACCATGTTCAGACATATGCCATTGTCATTGCCGCGCACATGTACGCCGGCGGGCTGCATGACCCACACGCCGCGAAACCATCGGTGGGGGGCTGGCGGCAGAGGACAAAGCCCTGCAAATCGCCTCCAGCACCTCCAACAGCTTGTCTGGGGCGATCCCATTGGCACCCGGGGGGACTTCTGCACTCCAGGCTTTCAAATAGTTGTCCCACTCCAGACGCATCTGCACAAACTCGTCAAAAGTGAGAACACCGTTGCCATCTAGGTCGTATGCTGTCCCGATCTTCTTGGCCACCATGAGACTCAGCGCGTCACCGCCACCAGGAAACCCAGTGACATTGAAACCGGAGAGATTCAAGGCCCTGCTAAGCTCTGCGACGCTGATGTTCCCGCTCCTATCAACGTCGATTTGGGTAAATATGTTCTTCAGAACTTCCAGGTACTGCATCATCTCGCAAAACTCATGGTGCCCAATGTTGCCTCCGCCCTTGGCAGCATACTTGGCAGCCAACCATATCAAAGTCGTTGGATTGAAGGGGTGTGGAAACAGTGCCTGCTGCGTTCCACCCTCCACGCTCTGCTCGACCGCCTGCAGCGCGCTGTTCAGCTCGTTCAGGTCGATAGTCCCGCTCCCATTCGTGTCGAACCTTCGGAAGGCCTGCTGGTACTCGGGATTCGCTGTCGCCTGCCGCTTTGCTGCTGGCCAGGGCAGACGAGGCCACAGGGATGCTGCGATCCGCGCCCCCCCACCCTGGGGCAGAGTGGGGGGGGGGAGGAAGCGGAGGGGCACACGGGAAGGGCCCAGGCCTGCGGCATCCTGCTTTGCCACGACGCATCAGGGCCCCTAGGCCATCGAGTAGGAGATCGACGTTGCAGAACTACTTCTCCTCAGAACTGCTGGTTCGCCGAATCTACAAACATGTATAAGATGTGGATAGGTCTACGATTCTACGACTCGTTCGCACCCCCGACGAACATGCCAATTCTGTAGCTGACCTCCTACTCGAAGTCAAGACATTGCCAAACATGACTCTGCATAGTGAGCGTTTCTTATTCGGCGTTTCGACATTGGGCGGAAGGGGGGGGGCTGGCTCCGGACCTCTGCTTAATGCGGCTGTTTGCAACAGGGCGTTCATTATGGGGGAGGTTCCACCTGCTAGACACAGGCGCCGAAAAAACAGCCAAGATCCACTCCAGGTTGGGGGGAAGGTCTTGGGGCCCGCGCCGATCGGCAAAACAAATAATAAAAACTATCACACATCCGTGTCACCGCTTACACGCGGCCCTGGACATGCCCTCCCGCCCCCTTCCGGCCCCCCCCCTCCTTGCCGATCCCCCCCCCTCCCCTGCCCCCCCCCACCCCGGCCCCTCTCCTGGCCCCCCTCCTTGGCCCCCCTCCTGGCCTCCCTCCTTGCCCCCTCCTGGCCCCCCTCCTTGGCCCCCCCACCCTGGCCACCCCTCCTTGCCGATCCCCCCCCCCTGGCCCCACCCCTGGCCCCCCTCCTTGGCCCCCCTCGTTGGCCCCTCCCTGGACGTGCCCCCCCGCGCGACGTCAGAAGGTGGATTAAGGCTGAGCAGAGCGAAAGAGAGGGAGGGCGGGATCAAGCAGAATCGAATCGGGAAGTCGGATCGAACCAAAGTATGCGTCGTCGGACCGGGCAGAATCGGCACGATATCGACATCGATCCAGAGCGGCTGTCCCAGGACGCACAACAGCGCCATGCACACATCGGGCCGCATCGGATCGTCGGATGATCGGAATCGCACCGGATCAAGCTGGCCTAAGCCAATATCGAGTCGGACCGAGCGATATGTGTTCTGGGAGGTCCATGCAAGCGGAGCAGCACGGACGAGTGATCGGTCTGCCAGCGGCCGCCAACGCGTGCGAGAACAGGCGCTGCAGAAAAGCGAGACAGAAGAAAGGCTTGAACGGGGACCGACCGTTCCGGCATTCCCATAGTCCTACCACGAGATGTTCTTAGAACCCAGACATGTTCTTAGAATAAGAACCGTGTTCTTATAATCTAAACTCGATGTGTTAAAACAAAACGGTCTCAGCCAGAAATGTTCTAAGACCACGTCGTGCAGACCACAAATGGTCCTTAGAACATTCTTTGGTGTGCCTATAGGCAAGCCAGGGCGCTTCGCCACTGCTCCAAGGGCGAGGAGCCCGAGTCCCAGCATCGCTGCGGCTTCCGATGCCCCGGGGTGGAGCCGCCCCTTCGAACATGCCCCTCTTCCTGCTCCCCGCCAGCGCCTCGGGTGCCGCCATGGCGCCAGAGGGCCCGAGGGGCGAGGCGCGCGAGCGGAGGAGCCCGGCCTCTTCGAACGTGTCGTCACGACGTGCAGCTGCCGAGGCGGTGGGGGCTCGAGCCAGGGAGGAGGAGAAGGAGGAGATGGTGAGGAGGATTCGGCCGAGGATGGGCCCGGGGGAGGAGGAGAACTAGGAGAAGAAGGAGGAGGAGGAGGAGGAGGAGGAGAAGCTGAGGGTGGTGATGGGGCTGACTTACCCTTCTTTTATCTCGCAGGGCCCACTCCTGCCCCGGACCGAGCTTGTTATGTTCCTGCCCTCGAATGGGGAGCGGAAGTAAACCTGACCTCGAAAACGGCAACAAACAGAAACAACAACGCGACCTGGGAGCGGGAGCGGAAGACCATGCAATCCGGACGGACAGCTCCAGAGAGAGGCGGGAACGGCGGAGTCTCCGACATCTGGCCGCGCAGTGGCAGCGCATGGGACAGGGACACAAAACGGCGCGGGCGGATGAGGGGCATGCGGAGACAAGAGCTCGGGAAACAACCAACACCATCTGCGCGGAAAACAGCAAGAAACGAGCACTGCAATACCACGTCACAACTCAACAAAATAATTTACACACCCTGTTCGTCGTTTCGATCGGTGAACCGGCTTGACTTATCAAGGCATACGGTGGAGGGAAACAGTTCGTGGACACTACCCCTTTTCACCAAACTCAAAATTGGCACGCGCGGGGAGGACTGCGGTCGAAGTGCAACGCATCTAACCCACCGCCAACACTGATCATTGGGGGGGGGCATTGACACATGAATGTGGCATGAGTGTTCGCTACTTTCTTCCGAGGCCTGTAGCTAAGCTTGCGCATGATCCCACAAACACTCCGAGCGCAGCTGGTCCGCTGGCCCCAACTGTTGCCTCCAGCATGGCCCCCGTGGAGGCCGGAGAGACGGCCGCGGCAGGCCTCCAGCATGGCCCCGAGAGGCGAGAACTCTGCACGGTCGCTGTCGCCGCGCCGTCTGTTCCTGAACGCGCCCAAGTGGCGGAGTTCGGGGACCCTGAAGCCAACAAAAACGTTACCATCTCTCGGGGGCGCACTTTGCTCACTCCCGCCGCCTTCCGCCGAGCTTCCGCCGGCTCCCGCCGGCGGAGGCGGCCCTGTTTTACTTCCGCCGGCATTCCGCCGACCTTCCGTCGCCTTCCGCCGCGGAAGTGATGGCAAAAGATTGCAAAACAACCTAGGATTGCAATCCTTTGCAAAGGATTGCAAAAAAAACCCTCGTTTTTTGCAATCCTTCGTTTTTTTGCAATCCTTCGATCCCCGGAGGTGACGCCTTCTTCTGCAGCGCCTCAAGCAGCCCAAACTGGCGCCGCGGCAGGCCCACGGCAAGCCCGGCGTCCGAGGCGGCGCTTGCCCGGTGCCCGAGGCGCCCTCCCCACGGCGTGAGGCCACGCGTCGGGACGAGCGGGGAGGCGACAGATTGTCAATCAAGCTCGTCGTTGCACCTTAACAGGGGATATGTCGACCCCTATCCCAGGCTTCGTGGGGTTTCCGAATGGACCAGAAATTTGGGGCCTAACCCTGGGATATACGATGGGGGGGTGTCCATCCTCGACAGGGGTGCGTCCGAATAGCCCCCTCGGGATGTATCCCAAGATTCCGTCCCTTTTCTGAGCGACCAAACTTTTCTGGCGGAAGTCGGGGATTGGGGGAGAAACATCGCCCGCGAGCACCTGTCGGTTTCCCATGCATTGAGGAAGCCTCACGGCACGCCCGACCAGCATCCTCGCGGTGCCTCCAGACGGGCCGAGAGGGCCGCAAGGCACCCCCGAGGCTCCCAATCACACCTCGCAAGAGCCGCAGGAGGCACGGGAGGTCCACAACGACGAGTTTGATGCGACAGCATCATTTGAGGCCTCCGTTGGACCAGCAGGTTTAGACTTGAACCTAAAGCTGCCAGTAAGGCGGTTCCTTGGGGGCGTGAACGAGTCACCGCAATAGAGCGGAGAGAGGCGACGCTGTGGACTCCATGTGTGGGAAGGTGGGGAAAGCAACTTGGCGTTGCGCGGCGAACAGGCTGGTGCTGTGCGTGGGGGGCACTCCGGAAAGGCTGGGCAAAGGCACTGCTGTCTCGGCAGGATCGCATCGGACACGGGCAGGCATGCTCCGCACGCGGCCCCTGCCGACCCAGGAGGCCCCCTGGGGGGGGGGGGGGTGCTCGCCTCCCTCCCGGATCTGACGCCCCCTTCGCGAGGGAGACGCGAAGAGCGAGGGAGAGGGAGGAGGGACACGAAGCGAAGAGGAGCAGGACGAAGAGCAAGACAAACACGGTCCCGAAGCGGTCCCAATTGCGGGGGAGGATACTTTCAAGAGATCGCCACCCAAAGCTCACATGAAGGGACATCGGGGGATGCAGTCAACCCGTACTACAAGAACTCACTACGTGCACACTGTACGGATGCAAGGGCCTTGGAGGGCCACGTCGACACTTTGCGGGCGGGGCGCGGCCAGCGAAAGTGGCCAGGGATGGGCCGACGGGGAGGGATGCGGGTTGACTGTTCGGGGGGAGGGGGGAGCGCGAGGGCGGCAGGCAGGCAGACAGCGGCGAGGCAGAAGGGCTCTCGCCTCGCTCCCGCTGCCGCTCCTGCTGCCCCATCTGTCCAACCCCGCCTTCTCTGGATCGTCCTTCTCCTGCGGCTCATCCTCCTGCTCCTGCTCCTGCTACCCCTCCTCCCTCCTCCCCCTCCCTCCCTCCCTCCCTCCTCCCTCCTCCCTCCTCCCTCCTCCCTCCTCCCTCCTATCCTCCCTCCTCCTTCCTCCCTCCTCCCTCCTCCCTCCTCCCTCCTCTCTCCTCCTCCTCGCCGCTCTCCTCCTCGGGATCACCGCCCCTCTCCCACCACGGCGGCCGAAGAGGGGTACGTAGCTCTGTGGATGGAGGTGGTGATGGGGGGAGGGATCGCCATCATTGGCGTGTTGGGCTGGGAGCTGGTAGCTCTCTCTTTCTCTCTCTCGCTCGGCTCCCACGCTCGTCGCAAAGTTGTGCGATCCTCGACTTCAGTCCCAGCTCGGTTGGTTGCAGCGTCGATCATGCTGGATCCGTATGCCCCCGCGACGGCGACGAGGACGACGGCTAGTTGTGGTGTTGGTGGGGGCTAACGGCAGGCGCCGACGACGGCGGGCGATCTCCTGCGAGCCCAGGAGCTCCCGGACGCCGTACAACAGCTCCTGCCCGGGAGGGGACGGGGCCCGACGCGCCGTGCAAATATTGGGGCGCCAAAAGGGCAGGCTCGCGGGCAGGGGGCGCGCCGTGCACGACGCCCCCGAGAGGCCCCGCGAGGCCTACGAGAAGCTTTCAAGAGACATCCGAAGAAACTACGAAAAAAGGCATCCAAGAGGTCTCTGGCCGTTCTGCTAGCCCTCCTCCTCCTCCTCCTCCTCCTCCTCGGCCTCCTCCTGTTCTTCCTCATCCGTGTGGTCCCCATCCTCCCTCACCCATCCTCCCTCCTCCCTCCTCCCCCTCCCCCTCCTCCATCACCTCCTCCTCCTCTGGTTCCTCCTCCATCCTCCCCCTCTTGAGGTATGACGGCTGCCCAGCCTTTATTCCAGTGCGTGCTCCCCCAGATGCCTGATCAAGGCAATCCGCCTGGGCATCATTTATATATGGGTTGGTGCGGTTACTCTTTTGGCCGCGAGCCGTCATAACGAAGCAACAATGCAACGAAAACAACAAGTTGGTGGGGATACGCGAAGCGTCTAGAGTAGGAAGGGGGCGGGAACGAGGGGGAGGAGAAGGAGGAACAAAAAGGGGCCGAACAGTCAGCGCAGGCACCGCAGGAGGGGAAGGGAGGAAGAGGACGACACCGAGAGAGGAGGGATGACAAAGGATAGACACGAATTTCTAAACGGCTCGCTGATGGGCAGGAGCGCCGACGCCATGTCGCCTTGGCGACGCCTGTGGTTAGCTGTTCATACACAGTGCAGGAAAAGAGCGTGCCCTCGAACGTGGCGACAGATTCCAGTTCGCAGCCCCCCAGAAATGGCGAGGTCTAGTGTAAATTTCCCTAGGGCCTCACTGTGCTGGGCCCCCAAGCAGCCCTCGAAAGTGGCGGCAGTCTCCAATTTCGCAGCCCCCCAAACATGACGAGGTCTGATCTGAGCCCCCGTGCGTCGTCACAGTGCTGGACCTCGCAACAGCCGTCGAAAGTAGCCCCTGTTTCGCAATTCGAACCCCAACGCAGGGCGAGCTCTAACATGAATCCACGTCCGACCCCACTGCGCTGGGCTCCCCAGCAGTCCTTGAAAAAGGCAACAGCTCCTCTGTCCGCAGCCCCCCAGGGAAGGCGAGGTTTCATCTGAATCCTCGGAAGGAGTCGCTGCGCTGCCCCCCCCCGGCACCCCTCGGAAGTGGTGACACTGTTCGCAGTTCACAACCCTCCAGGCGTGGCGAGGTCCAGTCTAGCCCCGCTATGCTACAACCCCGCGCAGCCCCCGAAAGCGGCGAGAATTTCGCAGTCTGCAGCCCCGAGGCATGGCGAGATCGAATTTGAACCTGAGGTGTACAGTAGGACGTCACTCTGCTGGACCCCCTAGAAGCCCTCGAAAGAGGCGACCGTTTCGCAGTTCGCAGCCCACAGGGGTGGTCAGGTCTAATCTGAGTCCCCGTATGGCGCCACTGCGCCCCCGGAAGTGGTGACAGTGTCGCAATTCCCAGCCCCGCCGCCCCCCCTGGGGACACAAAACACAGGTAGCAGACAAGTAGGAAGCAGGAGGCAGGGGGGGCGGGACGAGGAGCGAACGAAACCAATCGCTCCCGTTCGGGGCGGCTACCGTGGGCGCGCGGCGGCCTGGCGACCCAGGTCGCAGTCGTAGTTGTTATAGATGGAGTATTTGGAGGCGTAGTAGTCAGAGGGCTCGCACTCGCTGGACTCGCTGGAGTCGCACTTGCAGGAATCGCCAACCAGCCCAGAATGCGACCAGCCGGACTCGGAGCACAGATCTTCAGAGTAGCCGAGGCATTTGGCGAAGCCGAGCATGTCGTCTTTCGTGTTACAATCGCACGCATCAAACACTCCGAGCATGTCCATCATGCCGCTCTGGAGGAGCCACTGCTGGTCGTCGGTCAGCTTCGAGCCAGGGTCGGCGGAGGACTTCATCACGGCATCGGCCATCCCATCGGAGAACTCGCTTAGTGACGGCGCGTGACCAGGCCAATCAACACACTCTGCAGCGTCTGTACTCCAGATCAGGTAGAACACGAAAAGCGGGAAGTCGTTCAAGGAGTCGCCGACAAACAGGCCGAACGTACTGAGCTCGTTCGTCGGGCTGAGAGTGTTCTGCACGTCGGCGGAGGCCACGAACTCGCTGATCATCGTCTGCTTGGCGGTGTTGAGGGAGGTGAGCTCTTGCAGGTGTCTTTCCTGGCGCGCTAGCAGTGTCTGCAGCTGACTCTCGACAATGAGCCACTTGGACTTGGACGAATCGATGAGGGAGCACAAGCGTTACACGTCGAAGGAGGCGGGCGCGCGCGACATCGCGGCGTCGGCGTCCACAGGCGTAGCAGGAGTAGTATTGAAGAGCAGATTGGCATCCGTGTGGATCATGTCAGACTCGCCCTTGGCGGTGAACGGGTCCCTGACGTAGGCGATCTGGTGCTCGGCGGTGGTAGCATTCTCGTCCTTGGCGGTGAGCTGGTTGCGGGCGTTGTCGCTCTGGAGGTCGGCGGTGGAGGCAATCACGGACTTGTGGATGATGGCCATGGCGTCGTTCATCAGCGAGGCTTGCTTGGTGCCCAGCTGGTCCGCGATGGTGGTGAACTGGTGCTCGGCCGCGGAGATGACGTCGGCCAATTCCTGCTTGAACTCGAAGTTTTGGTTCTGGCAGTCGATAGCGCGTTGGTCATCTCGCCGTAGTTTTTCACTCTCGGCAAGCGCGTACTCCAGCGTCTCGAGCTTCATCCGCAACACGGTCATGGAGGAAACCGAAAGAAACACAGCATCATCGCGTGGGCGACCATCGCCAGATATCACCTCAGACAAGGAAACGTGTCCAGGGAGCTGACCTTGTCGGTGTTCACCTTCTTGTAGGCCGGCGTTGCGCCAGAAGCCGACGAGGCAGCCACTGGTGGAGCAGCAGGCTCATCAGCACGTGCTTCCCGCAGAAGACGACCAGCTTGATGCTTGGCTCGATTGGCATCTCGATGATCTCGGAGACGCTGACGAAGAAGCTCGGGAGGCAATACCGCACCAGCAGCAGCTCCGCGAGCGTAGTGATGCGGAGCAGGCGCATGACGATCATCGATGGCGTGAAGCCCCATGGAGTGAATCACCATCGCCGCCGACTGCTTCAGGAACAGTGGGACGGCAAGCCAAGGGGCGGGAAGAGGAGGAGGAGGAGGAAGAGGAGGAGACGTGGAGACCGCGATGCCCTATTCAGCACAAGAGCCCGGAGTAGGGCTGAGGACACGAGCCCAACGGAGCGTTGGGGCAAACAACCAACTGCAACATGCGCTTGTAACGCTCAAGCGCAGACACAGACACAGACACAGACACAGACACACACAGACACAAACACAGACACAAACACAAACACACACACACACACGCACACACACACGCACACATTCACACACACTCACACACACACACTCACACGCGCACGCGCACGCGCACACGCACACACATTGCCACACACACACATACACACGCACGCACGCACACACACAGGCAGGCAGGCAGGCAGGCAAGCACGCACACACACAAAGGCACACACGCACACACACACACACATACACACACACACGCACACACACACACACGCACTGGCCTGGGAGCCCCGAGGGGCGCCCACGCTCCTGTGCGAGCCCTGGCCCCCCGTCCTTGGCCGACGCCCTCATCGCCTCCGCCTCCTCGGAGCTGCCTGCCTCTCCGCCTGCCGTGCGTGCGCGCCGCGGCCCGGCGGCGCCCCCCGGCGCAGACGCGCCCGCCCGGGGCGGCGGCCGACGACGACGACGACGACGACGACGACGACGACGACGACGACGACGACGACGACGACGGAGGGTCGGCGGAGGGGCGGGGGGGGGGCAGGAGAGGCGGGAGAGGGAGCGGCGGGCAGCGGATGAGGTCGGTCGGTCGAGCGTCTTGCTGGGAGCTCTCGCCCCCGAGGGTCTGGGAGGATACTCTCTTGCTTCGACCGCCGCCCTCCCCGGCGAGGGAGGGTTGGGAGGGGGCGATGGGGGGGAGGCGACGGAGAGTGGAGCAGGGGGCGCGGGGGAGGAGGATATGGCAGCGGGGGGGGGGGAGATGGTCGGCGATTGCGCAGGGAGCCCACAGGGAAGAGGCGCGAGGCACGCCAGACTGGTGAGGGAAGGTGCTGTGGGACAGGGAAGGTGCTGTGGGACAGCGGGAGATGGCGCCGAGAAAGCAGCATCCCAAACTCCTTAAACGATGTCCTGTCGCTCTCTCTCTCTCTCTCTTTCTTTTTTTATATCGTTATCTCTTTTTTTTTTCTCTCTCTCTCTCTCTCTCTTTTGCGGCCCCTCTACGATGAACGCCGCCTCCTCCTCCTCCAATCCTCATCACCGTCACCCTCTCCCCTTCTCCTGTTCCTGCCTGCTCTAAATCCGCTTTGTCATTCTCACCACCCCCTTGTCCTTATCATGTACAGTGGGGGCGCGCATCAAGAAACCGGCTGTCTTTCGTCAAGGCGTACCTTTTCCTGTGCAAGCTCTCCGGCACCGCCTGCACCCCGCTCCGGCCGCCTGAGTCCCCGCCCGCCCACGCCCTGTCTCCCCAATTATAATGTGCTTTGCGCGCCCCGCCTAGCTCTTAACCTGAAGAGGCCCGCTCTCGACCCGCAGACCAAAAAAGTTGCACGATGGGTTCTCGCGGTTGCCAAGGAACTTTCGTGTCCAAGATCCCCTGGGTTCCTTCCCAGTTGCACTTCGGGCAATCAAACGGCCCGCTACCGAAGAAACCCCCAGGCGCCAAAGGCTCCTTGAGTTTCTTGCATCCTTGCGACAATACAGCACTCCCCGCGCACGCGGGCGAGCGCGCGTGCGCCCTAGCCTGATAGGGTTTGCATTGTCAACATTGGCTGTGTATTGCCCAGAATACAAGAGTCGCTACGTTGGCCTGGAAACTAGAGTCAACCCTTAACGGTGGCCGATTGGATTTTGAAGTTAACATGGGTTCTTGTGAATGTGTTTATTGCGGACAATACAGCACTCCCCGCGCACGCGGGCGCGCGTGCGAACGCGCGTGTATGCGCGCGTGCTCGCCGTGTGCCCTGGCCTGATCAGGTTTGCATTGTCAGAACAGGTTTTGTATTGCCCAGAATAGAAGAGTCGCCATGTTGGCCTGGACATTAAAGTCCACCCTTAACGGTGATCGATTGGATTTTGAAGTTAACATGGGCTCTTGTGAACGTTATCTGTTGTGGACAATACGGCACTCCCCGCGCACACAGCGCGCGCGTACGCGCGCGTATGCACCGGCTGCCCTAGCCTGCTAAGGATTGAATTGCCAGTTTAAGTCGGTTTTGCATCTTCCAGAATACAAGAAGTCGCCATGTTCGCTCGAAAACTAAAGTCAACCCTTGACGGTGACCAGTTGGATTTTGAAGTTAACATGGGCTCGTGTGAGTTTTTCTAGTGTGGGCAAGTCAGCACTCCCCGCGCACGTGGGCGCGCGCGCGTACGCGCCGTGTGCCCTGGCCGGACAAGGTTTGCACTGTCAGCATTGATTCTGTATTGTCCAGGATACCAAAATCGCCATGCGTTTCTTCCCAAACCGTGCTGACGTATTCTATGAACGCGGCTGCTAAGAAACTGCTCGGGCCAGGGCCCCCTGGGTTTCTCCGTGTGACGCCGTCGGTTAAAACAAAAAATCCAAGCCCTGGGCAAAAAACTTTGCGGCTTTTCAGGGTAAGGTTTCTTGCGATGGTTTCTTGTGGCCGCGCCCCCCTGTATCCTGTTCCTCCCGCTCCTGGACCTCCTCCTCCTCCTCTTGCTCAAGCTGCCCCGCTGCTCATCCGCCTGCTCACGCCTCTCATCCGGTTCCTTCCTCCCTTTGTGGAAGGAGCGGGGGGTGCAAAGAGGACCAGGGGGGAAATGAAGGGGCGACAACGATGAAGAAGAACTCGAATCCAGAAAAGTGGCCGGGCGAGAGCGCCGGTCTGAACGACGGTTGCAAATCGCAGATCCGAAAATGAGGCCCACGCTGCAGCGGGAGCACCATTTCGAAACTCCGAAGACAATCGGATCACAAAACCTGGAAGTAGTAAGACACATCACCTTTGAACTCCTGTGTGTGAAGAAAAGCCATGCGCGGAGGGGGCGGGATACCTCCCACATGGAGTCAGGGGAGAGATGAGAGTAGTACTCAATGGTGTGATTGTGAGCCAGGAGAGGCAGGGGTAGATGTGAGCGAATAGCCGAAGGACGGAGTGTGGATCGAAACTCGGGGGCGGCCAAGAGGGGGGCGTCCAAGAGGGGGGGGGGCGCAAATCATGGCCGGCGGCATGTGCGCGGCCCTTGTGATGGGGCCAAGGACGTAATGGAATAAGAAGAGGCGCCATGAAATCTGAGGAAACTATCATGGCCGACGCAATGATATCCACTCCCCTCTAGTCATCACCCCCCTCTTTGCCGCCCCCGAGAAACGGGGAGCAGCGAAGAGAAATAAGCCTGGTGCCCGACGTCGCGAGAAACAAAAAACACCACGCCACGACACATCACAACCGGAAACTTCGACCCCATCTTTACGGGGTTTCCTCGTCAACCAGACCGGTCTGTGAGGGCCCCGGGGCAGAGCAAACACGCAGGCCGTGAAAACACGACAGGTTCCTGCCGCCGATCGGGGCAGAAAGCGGAGTTTAAATTGGCAAAAGCGCGGTTAGCAAGTCATCGAGTAGGAGATTGATTGCAGGATCGCTTTACCCCCAAACTGTCTTCTTTGTCGAATTAGAAAAATGACAAGTTCGTACCTTTTCGAACATCGCACGGAGAGTTTCGTAGATTCGAGGGGGAACATCAGTTTGCGGGTTAATCCATTCTGCAGTCGATCTCCTGCTTGAGAGATCAGCGAGTCAGCTGCATGCAACCATCTCTTTGGCGCCTCCCGGCGCCGGAGCCAGAACCTTGTGTCGAGGAAGGTGCTCGCTGCATGCTGCAATGTTTGGGCCTGCCCCCCTCTCCCATTCTTGGGGAAACCAAGCGATACCAATACCGCAACTTCCTGGACCCCTCCCAGGGGGCGCTCTGACCAGGATCTCGAGGCGAATCCAACAGTGGCGACGAGGGCCGCCCAGGAGGCCCACAGGAGGGAGAAAACGAGGGGATGGTATAAATAGGGTTAAGGGTACCTATTTCCTCCTCGCCCCTCCTCCTTCCGTTCGCCCCGAGCGCCAACGTCGGGCTCGGCTTCTGACGCAACGGTTGCCGCACCCATCGGTCGGAAGAAGTAGGTAGAAACATGAAGTAGGAAGGGAGTGGGCTCCGTCCGCACCCTTGGGAGGACGGAAAGGGTGAAGCCACTCGATCACTGACGTAGGAAGGCGATTATAGTAGATTGGAATCTGGGCATACAAACATAGAGAATCGAACTCTATATATATATATATATATATATATACCGACGCTTCTTCGGGCCCTGCATTGGAATTAGCACTGGAGAGCGGATCCTGGCGTATACGGGACCCTGGTGTATACATTTGTTGTTGCTTCCTCGGAACATCGGGGAACAAAGTATACACCACACCACCCCAGCGTCGTCCTCGACCCTCCAGAAGTCCTGGGATTGAAGAACGGCCAGCCACTGGTGATGCAGATGTTCCAGCTTCCGAACAAACTACCTGCTTTCAACGACCGATGGGCACACCCCGGAGCGACCTCCGCTCTCGTGTGGCCCCGAGGCTGCTCGGCCTCGGGCCGTGGGCTACCCTCTGCGGCACCCGGGTCCCCCCAGCGGGCCCCCTGCGTGTGCAGCCTGGAGCGCCCGCGCCGGCGCTGCCGCGGCGTTCGGGGGGCACGAGCGCGCCCTGCCCGAGCAGGAGAGCGATTACAAACGTTGGTTTGCCCCAGCATTCTTTTCGCCTCGACGGCTCGAATATTCAGAGAATTCTGTGTATCTGTTGCAGCCGACGAGCGTGTTGCGAAACATGTCAATGTTGTTGTCGATCTCCTACTCATCCTGTAAGAGGAACAAGGGCCGGCACTCCAACGTGATCTATCAGAATCCATGGGGACCACCCAGAGAAGAAGAACTGCGCCTCGCACCGAGTACAAGGGTGCCCCGTCTCCGAGGAGGAAATAACGAGCCATGTGTTCCAAGGGAGCAACCAGAAAGAATAACATAAGGAAACAGCCAGAGAAAGAACATCCAGAAATCCGCTTGACCGTGTTGCGCGGTCGGGATAGCCCTCTAGATGAAATAACAAATCGTTGGTGGGGGCTTGTGGAGGGTGGGGAAGCTGCTTCCACGTACTTGGAGCATCGCGTTGGAGCAGTGTTTCCGTAGCTTCTTCCATTCGATGTCTCATTCAAATTAACGCAGGCGAGCCTGGGCAGGGACAAAACGTCAACCTGATGCTGAAAGAGACTGCATCGTCGTACTGTCAGCGCTGGGCTTGATTGTCTTTCAATTTGACCGGAGCGGCGGGGGAATAGGAGGCGGGGGGAACCCCTTCAACCCCCTGCTCCACAGGGGGGTCTTCAGAATTCACCAGGAGGCCTCACATGGAGGTCCCCGGAGACCGACGAAGGCGAAACACCACAACCAAAATACAAAACACAACAAAAACTCGATCCCCCTGCTCCCTCCCCCATCGGGGGCCCCGAGGTTTATGGACCTCCTTCCCACGCAAGGGGGTAACAACAAAACTGTCCTCTGGAGGCCAGCAAACTGCGACTCGAGTCCGTAGATGATTAATTATGTTCCATGGCGTTGGAGGTCACGGCCCTGGAACTCTCAGAATCGACGTATTTGCGTGTCCTGGGATGCGTGTTGGCTTATGATTCGAACTCAGATTTCTAACGATATTTCTGTTCAGTCCTGTAGTCTGTGCTTCTTCCTAGATTTCGACCTCCGGGGGTCTTCATATCGGGCCCCGAGACACTCAAACATGGATCCGGGGAAAAAGACTGGCCTCGGGGGCAGAGTCGGGAGGTCTGGGGGCGCGGACTAAAAACAACGATGCCAGCGGATGTCAGGGAAGTCAGAGGAACGAAAGAGATAGCAGATAAGCTTGGTAATTCTTCGGAGGTCCGCGCGAACTCCCTTGTATCGGGGCCCGAACCTCCTGGCCCCCTGGCGGCGCCCCCAGCCCCGCTCCCAGAAGTGCGCGCGCGGACCTCCAACAATTTATGATCATGCTTCACGCCGTTCTCTCGAAGCGGATCCATCCGAGCCGAGACCTTCGACGTCGCGACTTGTTCTCGCACAGCGTGGGCACCTGGAGGTTCGGACTACCCCCGGTGGTGGACAAACCTCTCTTTAGTGAACCTCCCTTTAGTGAAAACGGCCTAGGACCGAAACCGACGGACCTGGACCCGCAAAAATGACGGCCGCGAAACCCTCTCGCGAACCGAAAACGTCCAATTCGCGAATCGGCGTGTCAGGGTGTCTATCAAACTCCGAAATGGTGGGTAACCCACCATTTACGTCAGCCATGTCATATTGAAAGGCAAGAACTCCCGACCCGCCTCGTACACCCAGCATACCGCGGCCGCAAGGTCCCCAAGGGTCCCGGTGCTCCCCGGGTATCCCGCCTCACGTTTTCGTCGAATGACGACTGCATTAGGCGGCCCCATGGCCTCAAGGAGCCCAGTGCTGTCTGGGGATCCCGCACATCGTCCTCGGGTGAGGATCGCCCGCACCAAAATCATGCTAGTCAATCTGTTGGAATCCAAGCTCTTCTCCTCTACAAACGGATGCTGGCCTCAACAAGCGCCCCCCGAATAGTACCAGCTGGCCTCAACAGGCCCCCCGAGTGGTCCAGGGCGGTCTCAATACCTCAACCCTGGGGCGCGGCGCCGCCAGAGGCGACGCCAGCGTGCTGAGACCGCCTGAGGACGACCCGGAAAGCTTCTGAGGCCAGTTTTAGGTCGGGCATGTCCTCCTACAGGCGAATTTTGGAAGGAACATCGGAAATAGTCAAACCATGCTCAGAATAGCCAAGAAATAATTGAACAATTGTCCCCGGACTATATTTTTTACCATTCTTGGATATGCCTCCTGTGGAGGGACATGCTCGACGTAAGGCCAAATGGGACTGTACCCGGGAGGGCACGCGGAGGCCAGCCGGGAATACCTTATAGGTGCAGGGGGGCTGCCCGTGGTGCGCAGCCGGGGCGCCCCCCTGGAGGCCCAGGAGGCCCAGACCTCGGGCGCCTCGATTTTTCTTCCCGGGACACGGGCTGCGCCAGCCGTAAGAGCGCAGAATGATCAATCCCACCTAGTGGGATAGCCGTTCTCTTGCATTCGTTAGCGCTTCCTCCGAGTTGCAAATCGCGCACTCTTCCGCTCACGCGTCCTGTCGGATGCATGGCTCAGTGGTGGTTGTGGTGGTGGGCCCTCGACCTCTCGACTACTTCCCCGGAACCGGCCTCTCGTCCCGAGCCGTTTCTTGGACGGTCCCGAGGCCCGGCAGCAGGGCCCCGAGGGGCCGAACACGGTCATCCAAGACCTTCTGCCTTCGTGCCCCGATTCCTTTTATCGAGACGCCAGATGTCTGGGGGGAGAGAGCGGCTCCGGCCCGGGTCGCGGCAGGCGGGCCTCTCCGCTCCACGTTCACCACCTCGGCGTCCTTCGCGGCCGGGTGCTCGGAGTCGTCCTCGGAGCCCCGCGCCGGGCGGCGCGCTCTGCCCCCGCTGCACAGGCCACGACGCGCCCTGCCCTGACAGCGAGGTGGCGGCTGGGCGGCAACTTCCCGGGACCGCCGGTGGCGTGAAAGCCAGGCTCAGCCAGAGATGCTGCTTCGACGGGGCCGCCCCCGGGCCCCACATGCCAATCTTGCTCACGCGGCCGCTGCAGGAGTGCAATCGTCGGCACAATGAACGCCCAGAACTAAACTCCGCAGGCACATCCGCTTTCAGCATTGAAAGCGGCGGACGCGGGGGTTCTCAACGCATGAGCGTGGGTTTCTCCGTTTGGTGGGCGACTTTGTTATGCCGACGGCGAGCGGTCTTCGTGATAATGACTTCTGTGAAGGCAATGAGGCCCCATAAGTGGGCCATTAGCCCAGACGAGGCCAGAGGAAGCCCAAGATTGCGCCACTGAGCGGGATGGAGCGGAATCCGGAAGAACTGTGCCGCATTCGGCCGGCTTCCGACCGCGGAGAGGCCAGCGCCGATGCTGAGGTTAAGCTCCCAAGGGTTGCATCCCAATAGAGGGAGGCCAAGGGGCGGGGGCCGGGAGAGGGGAGGCTCGGGGAGGATCCCCCCTCCTCCTGTCTGCGCTGCGCGCACGTGTCGCATCAAGGGCCGCGGCGTCTGCACCACGACCGAGAAGAAAAGGGATGCGGCCCAGTCGACGCTGCCTTCCTTGGTCGCCATAACCCTGCACGTCAGAAAGGAGGAACACGTGACGACGGGACGACGTGAAAGAAGGCTGGCCCGCAAGGGCGCAGGGTAAACTGAGCTAGCAATGTGTGGAAGTGGGTGGGAGAACAGGTTACACCCTCCCCTCCTCCTCTTCCTCCTCCTCCTCCTCCTTCTCTCACTTCCGCACAGCTATATTTTTGGAGCCTCTGGGGACCCCTGTGGCGACCTCGTGGGAGAAGGGAGCATTCGTCGCTCATGAGCTTGACCGATGGTGGCACTTCCTCAGCCTGCTGGAGGGCAGTCGTCACCCCGGCTGGGTCCAGCCCGACGGACAGCCTGGTCGGGCGTACTCCAAGGAAGGTCTTGGATGCGATTCTGAAGGGGGCAAAACGAGGACAGGGTGACGAGGGAGGAAGGATGGATACAGTAGACACAGACTTACGATCATAAGTGTTGTAATGCTACTTGTCTGGGCACCTTCGTGTCCTAGGTGCCCCAGATCTTCTGGGGGTCCACAAGGCCATCGCGGGAGAAGACACATCCGTGGGACGCTTGCTGGCCACCACGTTTCTACTTAATCATGCGTGGCTACCGTAAAGGGGGGATGTGGGGCGCAGGGGAGGGGGGAGAGGGGGGTATTGAGTATTTGGGGGAGGAGGGGGTTTCGTGGTGGAGCGAGGAGGGTTAGTAGTGGGGATGGGGGAGCGGGGGGGAGGGGAGGGGAAACTGGAGTTGGCGAGGCGCTGAAACATGGGACGCGAGGTCGAGGAGCATCTGGCTTGAATCCGCCAGCCCCCACGATTGGAAGGTGGGCGTGCGAAGCACTTGGCTGTCTCCCTCCCCCTTTCACCGTCCCCTGGGGTCCAACATTCTGTTAGAGAAGGAGTGGCCCCGTGATCAATGCAACTCGCCTGGGCATCGCTGCTCGCTGGGCTGGTGGAGACATTTTTGTTTGATCTGCGGCCCGCAAGGAAAAGTCCAGAGGGCGGTGGTAATCGAGCAAACTGGGGCACAGTGCCAGATAATTAATGCTGCCAAGCTGCTGGAGACGCAGGCCAAGCGGCAAGACAACAGCCCAACGGCTGGAGACCGCGCCAAACAGACCGGCATGCAAGCGCACATGCAGAGAACGAGTGACCGCATGAGCCAACGAGGAGTCGCCCTGACGGCGCCAGCTCGCAAGCGAAACTGCCACAAGCTGCCAACCGCAGCACGCACAGGGCCTGTACCCGTGCAGCCGCTGGGGCAAAAGCAGCAGGAGGCGGCGAGGGGAAACGAAGAAAGGAAAAGCCCAGAAGGCGAGACAAAAGAGCAACTGGTGGAGACACGCGAGGCGTCAAGAATTTTGCTTCCGCCGGTTTCCGACCGCCTTCCGTCGGCCTTCAGCCGAGGAGCAGATGCCAACTCCTTCAAGTGCGAGGGCCCCTTCTGGAGCGACCCAGGTGGGATGAGGGAGCACGATCAGTCAACATCGAATCGGAAATTCGGGTCGAATCAGATCGTGCGTCGGATGTGGCCGCATCGCCACGGACTCGGAATCGAATGGGATCGGCGCGCGCCATAATGCACAACAACGCAACATCTTCCCCATCGGATCGTCGGAACGCCAGAATCACACCGGATAGAACCAGCCGAATCCATATCGAATCGGATCGATCGGATCGAGCTTGTCCCGGGGCACGAACAAGGAAACGCGACAGCGCCACCGCTAGGGACCAACAGCGGGAGGAGCCAGAGGGGGGCCCCCTGGTTCGAGTAGGGGATCGACTACAGAATTGATTTTGCCCCAAATAGATTCTCCCAGTCATCTACGACGAATGCGTAGAATTGGCGTACATCTGCCGAGAATTCGGAGTACTTTTGCCGTAGATTCGACGAGGGAACTACTTTCGGGGTAAATCAATTCTGCAGCCGATCCCCTACTTACTCGACTGGTGGTGTGCCCCCCACCCCCCTCGCTCGAGGCATCCCCGGTCCCCAGCTCTGGGAGGCACCCTGGGCCCCCCTCCCCGGAGGTGGAGCCCCCCTGTCGGGGGCGCGCAAGCATGGACTAGCGATCCATGGATTTGGCGCGCGGTCGCCGAATCCATGGATCGGGGGAGGTGCCCTCCCCCAAAATGCGGCTGGTGCCGCCTCGCTCGGCGGCGGACATCCGCGATCTCCCACGGAAACGGGGCCCGCCGCTGATCCACGCCCCCTGGATCCAATGTTTGCGCTCGCCTGACAGGAGGTGGAGCCCCCCCCTGGTGGTTGTGGTGGTGCCGCTTCTAGGGGGCCACATGCGAACCCTACCCCCAGCCCCCACGATTTCTGAGGGGGAGTGTGGGGTTCACTTCGCTCGGGAGCTCCCGGGCGAAGTGAACCCCACCCTCCCCCTCTGAAATCGTGGGGGGTGGGGGTAGGGTTCGCATGTGGCCCCCTAGCTTCTCCGTCCCCCGACCGGGGGGGGCGTCCCGCGGCCGTCCTTCCGTGAGCCGCTGAGCCCCAGGAGCTCGTCCAGCCAGGCGCGCCGGCTGGCCAGGCGCCGGGGATCGGCGCTCCTCGGCGCCGGCAGCGGAGCGCAGACGTCGTCGCCGTCCTCGCCGCCGTTGCCGTCCTCGTTCTCATCCTCGTGCTCTCCTTTGTGTGATCTTTGTTCGTGTGTCATTTCTCTATTCCACTATATCTCTCTAAATCACTCTCTCTCCCTCCCTCCCTCTCTCTCACACACGCATTCTCTCTCTCTCTCACCACTCTCTCTCTCTCTATTGTTTTTTTCTCTCTCTCTCTCTCTTTCTCCCGTTCGCCCTCTCTCATTCTCTCTCATTCTCTCTCACTCTCTCTCTCTCTCTCTCCATCTCTCCCTCTCTCTCTCTCTCTACTGTCTACGTATCTGTTCACATGCATGTGCCATCCTCTCTCTCTCCCTCTCTCTCTCACTCTCTCCCTCTATCTCTCTCTGCGTATCGCTTGCGGACGAAGAGCGGCCACGAGGACCGAACACGGCAGTGTTCTATATCTCTCTCTCTCTCTCTTTCGCTGTCTCCTTTTTTGTTCTCTCTCTCTCCCTCTCTCTCGCTCTCTCTATCGCTCTCAATATATCTCATTATTTCCGCAAGCCTCTGCAGAGCGTCAACGGGAGCATCTCCACGTGCGTTCTTTCAAAGCCCGGGCCTCCAGGAGCTGCTCTCGGCCACGCGGCCATGACAACCGGCGCGACGAGACACCGGCCCCAAGGGGGACAGAGACGAGAGCCCCGGGGCCCACCTCGCAAAGAGCAACAAAACACCGGCGTCGGAGGTCTTCGGGTCGGATCGGTCTGGTGGCCGTTGCTCGGATTAGGTCGGGCATGTGCTCCTACAGGTGGATGTTAGACGACAAATGCAAAAATAGTCAAACAATACTCAATAATAGTTGAAGCATCGTTCCCATGCTATTTCTAAACTACTTTTGAATTTTCCTCCTGTAGAGGGGCATGCTCGACTTAATGCTTGGTTTGCCCCCCCCCCCCCCCCCCCGGCCAGGCTCGCGAGGTGCAGGGACATGACGAGAGGGGAGAGCGGAGCGCGAGGAGGAAACGTGCAAGGGGGGGGGGGGCGGAGGAAGAGTGCGGAAGAGGAGAAGGACGAGGATGCGGAGCAGGGCCCGGGAGCAGGAGGGCGACCTCCTCCCCTCCCTGTCCCCCTAGCCGCGCGCCCTCCACCTCCTCGTCGACCCAACTCCCATCCCCGTACTTCTGGCCTCCCCCTCCTCCTCGTCGACCCGATTTCCTTTTTTTCCCCTGCGTCGCTTCGTGCCCTTCCTGGATGCGGGATCCAGCACCGCGTGGGCGCAGCCCTGCCCCCCCGCCCTGGCGGCCTTCGCCGCTGGGAGAGGGGGGGGGGGAGCGGAATGAGCTCAGGTTGACTGGGGATGCGTGAGGATGCGCCGAGGCGCCTTCCCCGGGCACGACAAGAGGCCTGCGACAGAAGGTCGCAGGTGATGTGAGGGAGGCAGGCGGCGCTGAGCAGGCGGCGGAGAGCGAGGCGGAAGAGCTGCAAGACTTGCTAGAGCGGGGTGAAGTGACAGCGACGCACAGCGCGACCGGCCGTGGGGTCCGCGGCCGTCCCTGGCCAAACGCCAGGGGCGGCTGGGGCCAGCAGGGCCTTTCGTATCCCCCCCCCTGTGTGATGACCGCTTCCACTCCTGCAGCGAAGCGGCGCCGCGCGGGCAGAGCGATGGCGATGCGTCGGCGAGCGAGGCGAAGGCTGCGCAAGCGGTACAGTTGGGGCTCGACCACAAGAAACCTTCCACAAGAAACCCAACCCTGGAACCCGAGGACATACACCGATTTCTGGTACGGGAACGTCACGCATTCCATAGCAAGACCATCGAAGCCCAAGAAACCCAGGGCACCCTGGCGGCAAGCAGGGTGTCCCTTGGCAAGGGTGTTCATTGTAGAGGGCGAGGCAGAGAGAGCTGCAAACCAAAAAGGGCACTTGGCGAGCGCGGGGCGAAGCGGCAGGGCATTTCAGCGGCCGAGTGGTCCGCGGTCGATCCCCTGGCCAACGCCAGGGGCGGCCGTTCACGCCTCTCGTCCCCTCCCCCCCATGAGTGGAGGAAGGTCCTGACATCCCTCTTCACAAAAGTACAATGGAGACCCGTGCCGAGAGACACCCCTGCTTGCCTCCAGGGTGCCCTGGGTTTCTTGGGCTTCGATACTCTTGCTATGGAGTAACGCGACGTCCCCACGCCAGAAATCCATGAACGTCCTGGGGTCGTAGGGTTGGGCTTTTTGCTGAAGGCTTCCTGTGGTCCGGCCTCTACTGCAGGGCCGGTGAGGGCCAGTGGGGGACAAGGTGCGGGGGGGGTGCAGGGTGAGCGGGCAGGCCTCTCGGAAGGGAAGGGTTGGTGAGGGGCGGGTCGCTCAGAGGGTTGCATCGGTCGAAACGCTGTATTCTTTCGCCGTCGCCTCAGAGCCGACTGGCCCTCTTTGGAAATATGAAAGTGCCCACCCATGCTGCCCACCCTTTGTGGTAGAAGCCGCACTCGGAGAGAAGAGGGCCGATGCAGGTACGTAGGAACTGCTGCCATATGTGGATGTACACTTGCGGTCGGACGGAAAGTCAGTTTTGCAGCTGAAGTTGGAATGCCCGGGCTGCGGGTTATCAGAATCATGTGATAAAAAGTGCTGTCGCATAATTGGCGAGCACGTGTGGAACTCCTGCATGGGAGGGTCCGTTGTGGGGCTGGTGGATCGAGTAGGGGACCGAGTACAGAATTGATGTACCCCAGAATTTGTTTTCCTCGGATACATGAAACATGCGACGCCTCTCTTGTAGATTCGACGAGGGAATTAATTTTGGGATTTTGGGGTAAGTCAATTATGTAGTCGATCCCCTACTCGAGTGATGAGGAGCTTGATTGCCTCACAGCCCAATGGGAACCTATAAGGGAGGTGTGCACAAAACGGCATCTCGTAAGGCTGGACCGTGCTGCGTAGCTTGAAGTGCTGCCTCACTCCTCTTCCTCTCCAGACATCCCGTACATGGACAAGGTGTTGCACAAATTTGCGTTGTCTTTCGCACGCGTGCTTCAACCCTTGTCCCCCCTTTCTCCCCCAGGGGGAGGGGGGGGAGAGAGCACGAAACGTCGGTTGCTCAACGACGTCTGATGTCGCGGGGACCAGGTGGTGCTACATTTTGTCGACGTACCGTTTGGCCGCGTGATTTTTGTTCACAAAGTGTCTTCCCGGAGGTCTGCACGTCTTCCCTCGGGCAACTGAACGACTCGCTTTTTCATGGCCACGGGGCCCGGTCAGGGCCCCCAGAGGCCGAGAATTGCCAAACGCCGTCCGTCGCGTGCATTTGTCTCATGGCGCCAGTTCTGACATCCTTCCTTCATCGTCCCTCAAAAGCGAAACGGTTTCTGGGGCAGGAAAATCTGGCAAGCTGCCTGATGCAACTGTGTGGATTTTTGTGCCTCTTGGCCTCTGGGCATGATCGCCTCCGCAGCCGCCTCCGAAAGGTGGTGTCCGCAGCAGCAGACTCCGCGGGCGTGGTCTGTGGCCTCACAGCCTTGGGCCGCTGGGCGGCTGGCGGATATCGACGCGGGAGTGCCATGCCGTCTCTTCTCTCCCCCTGTCCTGACCTTGCTTGGCTGGCTGTTGGTTGGTTTGCGGGTCGTTGTACCCGCGGCTGGCCCAGTGTACGCCCGCTGGCGAAAGGTGTCCAACAGGGAACTCGCTCACGCTGCCTGGGGCTCTCGCCCACAGGGCAACCTCCAACAAAGGCCTCTCGACAAGGGGCGGGCCCCCGCCAGGACAGGGCAAACCCGAAGCACGGTCCTTGGGACAACGAACGTTCCGCTGCCCAGATCAAGCAAAACCAAGGCACGGTCCCTGGATAAGAGACGGGCTCCTGCCTGGGTTGGGCAAACCCGAGGCACGGTCCCTGCATAATCGACAAATCCAGGCCTGGGTGCGGTAAGCCCTAGGCACGGTTCCTGGATAAGAGACGGGACCCTACCCGGATTGGGCAAACAAGGCGCAGTCCCTGGACAAGGGACGGGCCCCTGCCTGGACAGAGCAAACCCTAGGAATTGCCCCTGGATGCAGAACGGGCCCCTGCCATGATAGCGCAAGCCCAATGCACGGTCCATGTATAAGGGACAGGACCCTGCAAACCCAAGGTACGGTCCCTGCATAACCGGCCAGGCCCCTGCGCAGACAGGGCAACCCTACTGCGTTTTCTGGCCCGCATCCCTGGACATGGGACGAGCTGCGGTCCTTGCTCACTGTGGCCTGCGTGCAGTTCCAGGCAGCCCTGACAGGGCGGAGGCGCGCGCAAATGCGCCTTGCGCGTCCGCAAAGGTGCTCGCACCGCGAAAAAGGCATTGGCAGTGTGAACCCAGAAGTAGCACCAGCGCGCTCAAGTGCGCAATCAGCGCCGCTTGCCAGCGCTAACTTTTTAGCAATTCGATTCCCGCACGGACCGCATCTCGTCCACAGAGGCACCCAATCGATCTGAGATCAGACGAGGAACTGGCTCAATTGCGCAATCTGCGGCGCACCAAAATGATAATCTGAGCTCTGCAAATGCGCCAGCGTGTCGAAAGAGGCGCCGGCGCCTAGAATAGGGACCAGAGCCCGAACAGAGCAGCAACGCGTGAGATGCGCAATCCGCGCCCGCCAGGGCGTTCAAACCATCAGAAAAGCAACATGAGACCGTAAAGGGCACGAGCGCGCGGTCTGCGCCGCAGTGGCGCTAGCGCCATCACCATCGCGCTAACATGCGCAATCTACACCGAAAGGTGCCGGCGCCACCATAATTACAAACAATCTGAGCCCAGCGCGTCCGAAAAAAGAGGCGCAAGCGGACATACCAGGGGCAGCAACCCACTGGGATTGCAACTTCAGGCCGCAGAGGGCACTAGCGCGCTCCCAGTGCACAATCTGCGCCGCAGGGACAGCAACGCTCTCAACTGCGCCGTGTGCAGGCGCAGCTGGATGGCAGTCCGAGCGTTGAGAGGGCGTCAGCGCGAACACGAAGGCGCTGGCGGAGCCAGACCAAATATCTGAGCTGACGCAGGGCCGCGGCGCGCACAAATGCACCATCTGTGTCCGCGCGCGCAGTCGCGCAACCCGAATGGTCATCTGAGGCTGGAGAGGGTACCAGCTTGCTTCCTTGTACAGTCTGCGTCGCAACGTGAACGCAATGTGAGCCCGCCGAAGGTGACGCCGGCGGCAAACTTGAAAGTGATTTAGACCCTTCTGGAGCAAGGGTCTTGATTTCAATCATCCTAAACATAAGTGGCGCAATCCCAGCCAAGGAAACCAACTAATGGATGGAATGAACAAATACAGTTGGATGATGGATTAAGTAAATGAGGGATAACTAATCAACACATCAGCCAAATATAGCACTCACTTAATACGTAACTACGGTTGCAACAAGTAATTAATTGTGAATCCCCTATACGAGCACATTAACATTTAGTTTACATTATTCTCGCACTGTAAACTTAGTAGCTAAACAATGCCATACAATCACGACAAATACATGATATATAAAGACACGTAGTATCACAACTGAATTAATACATGATGAACAGTTGAATGCTGGGAACTCGATGAATCATGCAGAGTGCGATTAGTTCGAGTAATCATGGAGTCGGGATATAAATAGCACAATGAGTACATAGAAATACATGCATATATATATATATGCATACGAATGTATGCAATAGTGATGACGTTTAAAAGGCCACCTTCAACCTTGCCAGGTTACCAGTTGTATGTGTGCTCTTTTGTTTTCGGAATCGCATGTCTGGAGTACCTGAAAACAGGTTGCCGAACCACCAAACCATGTGTTCAACAGATACTCTTGCTTTCTTGCTCGACGCCCCCGCAGAGGACTCCACATCACCATAAGGCAGAACGGGTCTCTGAGTCCGAAAGGCGTACTTGGCAGCGCCCACAAGTGGGCGGCGCGTGGGAGAGGGCTTCAAAGAGGGCGGCGGAGCTCCCAAGACGGCAAGGGGATCTTCTCAGAAACCAGCCCAGCTGCAAGGAAACTATCTGACTAGAAATGCCTCCGCCTCCCCAGAAGGCCGCCCCCGTCGCGCCACCCCCCTTTCGGGCGCAGCCCAGGTAGTACACGAGCCCGTTTCTTTGCCCATCGCTTCTGCGCGGGCAGCCTGCAGATGTAGTCCTGAAGCCTGAAAGTGGTCCCCGAGGGCCGAACTCGATCAAGAACCTCCAGTTGAACAAAAACATCTCGTCGGATGTCTGGGAGGATGGCAACGTCCCCCCGCTCTTCCCCAGCCCTGGCTCCACTCCTGCCCTCCTCAATCTTCTTGGGGGTCCCAAAGCGGTGAGGTGACAGACCGTACGGCGACCTCGGAATCCTCAACGACCTCACCGCACGGTGCGTCGCCACAGGGGCTTGGCACCCTGGAGGACCCAGTCGCCCGAGACGTCCTCGGAGAACGGCCCGAGTCTCAAAACCGTGCGGTCACACTCCGTTCCCACTGAAACACCACACGGTGTGGTCTCCGCACCGTTTGGGCCCCGTCTTCGGGCCATAACTCGGCTCTCCGGCGACCCTTCGGGACCACCTGGGCACCGTGCCCCCCAGAACGCTTGAGGCGAGACTCAGCTGCTGAAAAGCATACCGAGGCTCAATCACTGCCAAGAACACGAAAACCTAAGAAATCTATAGCAGGTTCGTGCCGTGACGACTTCGGCGCTGGTTTCTGACACCTCGGGGATCGTTCCACATTGAACGACCGGCCGTTTCCGAAACGTCCGATCGTTCAACATCGCGCGATTCTGGGTCGCCCGCGGCCTTCAACGTTGAACGCTGGCGGCCAAGTCGCCGCTGGTAGACACGACGCGAACCTACTGTAAGACTTCGAATCCTTTCGTTCCCCCCTGAGCCTATCCCTAATCCTGATTGGCTTACCACACGGTGTGGCCACCACTTGAGCAGGGACCGACCGTCCTGGCATTCCTATAGTCCTACCACGAAATGTTCTTAGAATCCAGAAATGTTCGAAGAACCAAACAATGTTCATAGTACATTAACCCGATGTGTTAAAACAAGACAGGCTCCGCCAGAAATGCTCCAAGAACACTTCCTGGGAACCACAAAAGGTTCTTAGAACATTGTTTGGTAGGGCTATAGGCGCGCCAGGACGCTTCGCCACTGCTTGAACCACACCGTCGGCCCCTCCACCCCGTGCTTTCGAGCCTAATAATACTCGGCTCCCCGGCGGCCGTCCGGGACGAGACCACGGCGCGCCCCGGAGCGCCCTCGGGGAGGCGCAGCTGATGGAAGCCATCCTGGGCTGGACGCATGAAAACCGCCTCCTCCTCCTCCTGCTCCTCCTCCTCCTCCTCCTGATCCTGCTCCTGCTCCTCCTCCTGCTCCGCCTCCTCCTCCTCCTCCTCCTCCTCCTCCTCCTCCTCCTGGCCCCCCGCCCACCACATGAGGAACGTTAGACCAACTGGACCGCGCGCGCGGGGCACCCACGGGGCGGCAGCTGGCAATGGCCTCCCTTCCAGGGCGCCTACACCTACGCACATCCGCCATGGATGCAAACCGCTGGCATCTGCAATCCAGTGCTGTGGGGGCCGGGTTCGGTTTCCCACTGTTCACGGGCTTCGGAAGCTCTCGAAACCTCCCGAACAACTTCCGACCCCCTCCCCGCCTCGCCGAAGCCTCGACGCCCTCCGCGCTCCCACTGGCTCACCGCACGGCTTGGCCACCACGCCCTGTCGGGGCCCCCCAGGGCCCGCCCTCCTCTGAGCCCCCTGGAGGGACCTGCGGTTCAGCGACCTCTGGCCCCTGGGCGTCTCCATGTGGAGGCCTGGAAACGGGCACCAACACCAACACAGCGGGCTGCCTCCACAGGGGGAAGATGATCTTAGATTTCGGGGTTGGTAAGAATAATTCGGTCACCTTGGAAGCCAGAATATTACCACCATCACCGAGATCGGGACCTTCTTCCCTCGATAGAAGCACACCGCCGCTATTGGTGTTGGTGTCAACCTCTGGGCCTGCGATCCGTGGCGACTGGGGAGGCGAGGATTACTGAACTGATGGACCTAGGTGTGCCAGGATGCCCAAACTCCTCAGTTCAGTAATCTCCTCGCCTCCCCAGCCGCCATGGAGACGCTCAGGATCCAGACCGCTGAACTGCAGGACCTCCGGGCGCGTGTCGTCCCTCCCCCCGGGGCGTGCGCGGCGGGCCCCGCCGAGGCTCCGGAGGGCCGGCAGCGTGGGCCGCGGCTGCGCCAGGCACAGGCGCGCCTGCCCGGGCCCGAGGGGCCCACGTGCCCTCGGGAAGGGCACGCGGGGCTCGAGGGCACGGCAGCAGCGCACCGGGGAGCTGGGGCGGGGACCCGCCGCAGACCCCAGCAGAGTTCGAGCTCCCCCCCCCCCTTGGGGAGGCGGGCGGAAGGGGAGGAGGGAAGGAGGGAAGGGCAAGCTACGTGCGCTCGCGTCATATCTGACGTTCTACCCCTCCCTCTCATCCCCTACAATGGCGTGAATATCCTCTCTATTCGCACAATCGGATGTCGAGCAGGGCAATGATCCCGAGAGGGTGTGCGATGGATGCGTCGTAAAGCACGGCGTAGCAGGGCGTAGAAGACCACGGCAGAGCGTAGTATGTCATAGCATGGCGTGGCGTTGCGTAGTAAAGAATTGCATCACAAAGTATTGCAACGCAAATAATGGAATCGCACAGCGGCACATAACAGAACATGGCATAGCATGGCGTTGAAGATCAAAGCGTAGAAGGGCATAGCATGACGTGGCACTGCGTAGTCAAGCACTGCATATCCGAACCTCGCAGCTGAAGGCATGGCATCGCACAGCGGAATACCACGTAGCATTGCATTGCATGCCGTGGCATGGCACTGGAAACAATGACGCCAGCGCTGCAGTGGGAGCACGATTCGGAACGAGCGGAAGCGCGGAAATGAGGCCAGCGCTGCAGCGGGAACACCATTCGGAACGAGCGGAGGCGCGGAAATGAGGCCAGCGCTGCAACGGGAGCACGATTCGGAACGAGCGGAAGCCCGAAAATCAGGCCAGCGCTTCAGCGGGAGCAACGTTTTGGAAAAAAACCAAGCGAGAACCGAACTCCCGGGAACCCTGTGTGAAAAACGGTACGCGGAGGGGAACCGAACATCTTCTGGACATCATCAGGGGAGAGAGGAGAGAGTAGTATTCATATGGTGTCATTTTGGATGAGACTTCAGACCCCCTCGCGTCGTGAAGCGAGAAACGCGACGCGAGGTTTTTGGACGCTTCCTGCCTCCCAGAGCCCCGCGACCGTCAGAAAACTACTCGGGATAAAAACTGGTCCCAGGTCAGGGGTGGGTCCAGACCTCTAGGGGGTCCGCGTTGTGGAAAATAACAAGACAACAAAACGTCGGGGGCGTGGAGAAGGACAAGAAAGAGGAGTAACTATATAGCAGGAGGAGGAAGAAGAGGAGGAGGAGAAGAAGGAGGAGATTGAAGAGGAGTAGTAGGTGGTGACGGTGGGGAGGAGGAGGAGGGGGGTTGGAGGAGGAGGGGGGGGGAGAACTGACAACAGAAGTGGAGGAAGCGACAGAGAAGAGGCGGCTGGGCCAGATGGAACCCAGCGGAGCAGCGGGGCGACGAGGGGAAGCGGCCGACGGCACGGGCAGGCGGGACAGTGGGGCTAGAGGAACGCAGGGCGGAAGGTGCCGAACTTCGACCGAGATTGGCACGTGCGGGCACGAACGCGGAGAAACTGACACACGCACACACATACGCATAAACATACGCATACGCGAATGCACACACGCACGCGCACAAACGCACACGCACACACGCACACACGCGCGCACGCATACGCACATACACACGCACACACACACACACACACACACACACACACACACACACACGCGCGCACACACTCCAGCGGCGAAATGACTACACCGTCATGATGTGCTAAGCGGGGTCACGTTGAGGCGAATCACCACTTGACGGAGCAGATGGGTGGACTGGATGGGAGGGGACATACACATGCAGAGAGCACCAGCCGACACGGATGCACGCGGCAACAAAAAAACGAAATGCTCATGCGATGCAGCGCAGGTGTGGGCCGAGAAAACTTTCAACCGCATGGGGAACGTGAAGGCCGATGGTGCTGCGCCGCCCGACTGCAGCTGTGCGCCGCAGCAGAAGACAGCACGGAACGCCGCCCGTGGTGGAGACGAAGCGCCGGTGGGGTGTGGTAGGCGACAGGACGTACAGCCAGAAGGGAGGACGAGTGTTTGTTCGGCAGACGTCCGGGGGTTTGTTCGGCAGAAGTCCGGGGAGTCTGTTCGGTAGAAGTCCTGGCGGGTGTTCGGTAGAAGTCCGGGGGGGTGTTAGGTAGAAGTCCGGGGGGGGTTGTTCGATGGAAGTCCGGGGGTGTGTTCGGTTCCTGTTGGGAGGTTTGCTCGGTAGAAGTTCGGGAGTTTGCCCTGGAGCTCGCGGGTTTGCTGCACTTTCCCCGAGCAAGGGGTCCCAGACGACGCGTCCAGGCGTGCCAGCGGGCGTCTCGGACGGCGCCGCAGCTTACCAGCCTCGAACGTATCCCTATCCCTAAGATTGACACGCCAAAAGGCGATGACAATCTTAGGGGTTCGCCCACAAAAACTAAGGGAGTCCCTAAGATTGGCATCGTGATGAGGAGGTGCCCAGCATAGGGATAGGGATATATTCCAGGCTGGTAAGCAGCGGGCGCCAACCCGAGGCACGGACCCCCAGGCGGACGAGCTGGGACAGCAGCAACAGCAGCCGGAGGCAGGCGAGGGGAGCGACGCGCAGGGGCCAGCACGAATCCAGAGCTGCACGGGTGAAGGGAGGGGAGCGATCGACTGGAGAACGGCAGACACCCTCGGGGGGAGGGAGGACGAAACCCGCCCGGGCGACGGCCCAAGGGAAGAGCAAAGAGAGGGGAAGCGGAGGCAGAGGAGCAGCGCAGGATGGCGAGAGAAGGGACGGCAGCGACGGCGACGCCACCTGGAGGCACACAGCACCCCAGAGCAGAACGCCCAGGGTAGGCAGACCGGCTTGCTAGGCCAGGCGACACGCACGCATACACACACACACTTGCACGCACACGCACACACACACACACATCCCTATTCTTTTATTCTTATTACCCGGACCCCCCCCCGCACCCCCCCTGGACCCCCCACCTAAACCGGATCCTTCCCCCAGGGACGCTCCGGACGCCCTTTCTGAAGTTTCGGCGGCCCCCTGGACGTTCTGCAAAAGGTTCGGTGGCCCTTCCGGGCCTCCCAGGGCGCCTCGCTGGGCCTTGCGAGCCGACTGAAGGCGATTAGAGGGGTCGTCGGAGAGGCGCAAGAGAGACCCAAGACAGCGCAAGAGCGCTCCAAGAGGAACCTCGATGGTCTGAAGACGGCCAAAGAGGCCCCCAAGACACCCCAACAGGCCGTTAAGAGAGCCCCGAAGAAGCCAAAATCGTCACATTCCCTCAGGAAATACATTTGTTGTGCATATCCGCTTTTTGGGTCTTCGCAGCGTCCAAGACGGCCCAATGGACCCCCAATCTCGCCCCAAGACGGCCCGGAAGGCCCCCTGGAGGGGTTGAAGGCGGCCCACGGGGGCCCCAAGACTGCCCCAGAGAGCCCCGAGACTGCCCACAAGAAGCCCAAGATGCACCCAGAAGGCTCCCAAGAGAGACCCACGAAAGCCATGGGATACCTCCAAGAACGCCACTGGAGGCCCGCAAGAGGGCAAGAGGGCCCTAGATGGCTTCAGAAGACCTCTGGAGGGCCCCAGCTCTCCAAGACGGCCCAAGAAGCCCCCAGGACGGCCCAAAAATGCCCCAGGACGGCACAAAAGAGCACCAAAAACGACCAGACGGCGTTCTCCTACGAAATACGTCAAGCTGACCCGACGATCTTGGTTCCACGTTTGAGGCTCGAGGTTTCAGTAGCTACCCGATCGAGAGAGACAGGCAATGGATCTAGATCCGAAATTCGACGATCGAAGTTTTCCTGAGTGCCTGGAGCCCTCCAGGCATTCGGGAAACGATCAAAAATCGATGTGTCCGGAACTACTGTGACTTCTTCGGCGTGTCATGGGAACGCTCCTTACTTCCTCAAGGGACCTTCGCGCGCGAAAAAATCAGCATGATTTCCCCACTCCTGCGCACAAGCGTGCCAGCGCATCGTTCGAAAGCGGTGTCAGCAGGCACCCGGGATATCGGAAAAATGGGCGGGTTGCCCGTCCAGGCCTCGAGGTCCTCCCTGCTGAAGAAAGCGATAATTTATTGCTTTGCCAGGGAAGCGTCCGGAACAAGGCGCATGGCGCGAAGCGCCACTGCAGTCTTGTATCTATATATATATAAGCAAACACGCACGCACACACACGCACGCACGCACACACACACACACACACGCACACGCACACGCACACGCACACACACACACACACACACACACGCACACACTGCTTCACCCAGCGGCCGAGTGACGCCACTGCAGCAACAGCAAGGGCGGGGCACGCTTAGGGTCAATTCCACCTAGCGTTGCAGATGAAGGGCCTGCGCTGGGCGAGACGCGTGCAACAATATATAAACACACACAAAGACACACACACACACACACACACACGCACGCACACAGACAGCCGCACAGACAGACACACACACACACACACGCGTGCTTTCTCCAGTGGCGAGGTGGCGAGACCATCGCTAGCGCTAAGCTAGGATACGCTCAGACGAATTGCGTAGCAGATGGGTGTGGACTGTCTGAGAGCAGCCGAATGCAGACGAAGCAGCGCGAAAGCAGATGCACGCGGAAGAAGCCGACGCGCGTGCAGTGCAGTGCAAGAGACGCAGGAGGCGTGCACAGTACTGAAAACGCAGCCCGATTGTAGGGCTCGACGCGGAGGTAGCTGAAGGGCGTGGCGGAAGTGCACTCCCAACCGATGGCATCGAGGATGGAAACGAATGGTGCCACCTAACCCACACACACACACAAACACACGCACACACAGACACGCACACACACAGACACGCACACGCACACACAAACAAATTGTGCAGCCATTGACTGCGCAGCCATGCTCATGCCGTCTCGAAGCCGCTGCGGAGAGCATGGGCTCCCACACCGCGCAAAGGAGACAACCAACACCTGAGGGAGCACAATGCCACACCTTCAATCGCCCAGCTGCAATACTCAAAATCACCAACATGTCTAGTACAAGGCGAAGAATGGAGGGGGCAATCAACCTGGAGACCATCGCAGGAGACCGAAGAGGTGCCACAGAAGAGGAGGTGCATGAGGCGGATGCGGAGCGCAAAGGGCGCCATTGCATCTGGCAAATGCGTAACTCTGCAAGCTGCGACCGACCACCGACCCTCCTCATCTGACAACGAAGATGGAAGTATTCATCGTTGCTCCTGGATGTACTCCTTTTCTTCCTCCCTCCTCTTCCTCCTCCTGGTCCAATTCCTTCCATTGCACCTGCCCCCACAATCTTCCGAATCGCTCACCTCCTCTCCGTCCTCCTCCTGTCCTCCCCTCCTCCTCTCCTCCATTCCTTTTTCTGTCGCACTCCGAAGCGGGTCGAAAGGGCGGGTCGGGCGTTTCGCCTGAGAGTTCCTCACCATTTATGACCCTGAAGCTTAAATTGACAACAGTTTAACAAATGGAGGGCGAGTGGTTTTCAAAATGTAGCTCTCGTCTTAGCGCTGCGCACATTCGTCCTACAAGCTGCAGCAGGAATTTAACGGATTGAGGGCGGTTGGTTTTCAAAATGTGACTCTCGCCTCAGCGCCGCGCACATCTGTCTAAAAGCTCGCAAGAGCTTCACGGATTGAAGGCGGGCGGTTTTCACTACGTGGCTCTCGCCTTCCTTCGCGCCGCGCACACTCGTCTCCAAAGTTTGTAGAAGTTTCGCGGATTGTGGGCGGGTGGTTTTCACAATGTGGCTCTCGCCTCAGCGCCGCGCACCTTCGCTTCCAAAGCTTGCAAGAGCTCCACGGACTGACGGCGGCTCCTTTTCACAATGGTGCTCTCGCCTCAGCGCCGCGCACATTCGTTCAAAACATTGCAGAAGTTTCATTGGTGTTCATAGTGCAACGGTGTTTTCGGACCGGTTTACGACTGTCCAGGCGCCACAGTTACGTTGACTCGCGGTGCTGACGCCCCAGGAACGGTGCTCCGGCACGATTCAGCATCGCGACGACCTCACAATCCGGTGAACTCGTGGCGTTGAAATCCTGAGAATGGTGTTTTGGGACGCTGCAGGATTTTTACACGGTGCCCCCCCAACAGGGCAAAACCTCAGTGGAAATGAATCCCTGTAGGGGCCGATGAAAAGGTATGAAGAGGGAGTTGGAGGAAAGGTGTATACAAACATCGTTGATGAGTCTTGGGTTTACACTGGTCCTCCTTCTCCTCCTCCTCCTCCTCCTCCTCCCGTTCACCTCCACTCTCTTCCCCCTCTTCCTCCTCCTGTTCCGTTTCCGTGTTTCCGTTTCGTCCCCATTCCGTTCCTCTTCCTGCCAGGGTGCGCTCTGACCAGAATGTCGAGGCGAATGCAGCGGGTGGCGACGAGGGCCGCCCAGGGAGGCACAGACAGGCGAAAACGAGGAAAGGGCAGCGGCATCGGTGCCTTCACCTGCTCTGATCCCCCTCTTGCTCCTCTCCGCCCTCCCCTCCCCAGCGTGGCAGCAGCGCGGCACGCGCTCCCCCCCCTCCGCGCGGCACGCGCTGCCCAGCGTGGCCAGCAGCGCCAGGCAGCCGGCGGCCAGTCTGAGCAGGGCCCTGCGCCCGCGGCCGGGCCAGCGCAGCCTGGGGGGGGGGCAGAGGACGCGGGGGAGGGAGACGCCGCATGGTGGCGAGTGGCGCCTTCAGGTATGGAGGTCTGAGTTGTGGAGGTGCGTTGGCACCCCTCCCCACGGCCGTCTGCGTTGGCCGAGGGGCTGTAGGGAGGGCCTCGGCTCAACAGGAGGGCCGTAGGGAGGGCCGAGGGCCGAAGGGAGGGACAGAGGAGGAGCGGAGAGCATGTCCGTATCCCCGCCAGGCGGGATCCTGCGGCTCGCACGCCTCCGCGGAAAGAACGCCCCGCATCCGCAGGGTCGCGGCCCAAGGGTCCGGCCCGCGAGGCTGCGGATACGGACACGCGTTTCGCCCACGCGACAGGAGGAGCAGAGAGAGAGAGAGGACTGGGGAGGGAGACTGGAGCAGGGAGGACCCCGAGATCGAGACGTGCGTCTGGATCGCAAGGGTCCACACCAGGGTGCGCTGGCCCGGCCGCGGGCGTCTGGGTGTTCCCACACCAGGTGTTTTCGCCCCGTCTCGGGTCCCGGGATCTTCACGTGCTGATCCAGCTCGACAGGTGCAGCTGGAGATCGTATCTGGGGCTCTGGTCACGATTTGTCGCGGAGTCGCACTGTTTCGCGACCGTCGGATCTTAGGGGTGCACGACAGGACGTGCAGGAGAGGGCAGTGAGAAAGGGAGGGCTGGAGAAGAGCAGGCGGGGTGCGGGCCGCTAGGAGGGGTGCGGAAAGAGACGGAGGACGAGAAGGGCTACAGATGCTACATGCTGGCGCACAGCAATGCCAAACGACACCCTCCTCCTAACAACCCTCCACTTCCTCCTCCTCCTCCTCCTCCTCCTCCTGCCCCGCCCTTCCTCCTTAAATGACACCCTCCTCCTCCCAATCATCCGCTTCCACCTCCTCATCCTCCTCATCCTCCTGCCCCACCCATCCTCCTCCTCCTCCTGCCCTGCCCATCCTCCTCCTCCTCCTCCTCCTCCTCCTCCTCCTCCTCCTCCTTTTCCTCCTCATCCTCCCCCCTTTGGCCTCCCCCTCCCCCCCCTTTCGCCTCCCCCTCCTCCCTGCTTCCTCCTCCTCCTCCTCCTTCTCCTCCTCCACCCGCTGCTGCTCCTCCTGCTCGGCCGCAGGCCCAAGGCGCAGAGCGGGCGGGCGGGCGGGCGGCGGAGAGGCAACCCCCTCGGCGGGCCTCACCGGGCAGGCCTCCTGCCCTCGATCTCCGCAGGATCGCCCGGTGGCGGCCGCCGGACGACAGGGGCGAGGACTACGACGACGCCGACGTTCACGTCGTCGCCCGTCGTCGCCCGTCGGTCGTCGGTCGTCGGTCGTCGGCCGTCGGTCGTCGGTCGTCGGTCGTCGGTCGTCGGTCGACGGTCGTCGGTCGGTCGGTCGGTCGGTCGGTCGGTCGGTCGGTCGGTCGGTCGGTCTGTCGGTCGTCGTCGTCGTCGTCGTCAACGTCGTCGTCGTCAACGTCGTCGTCGTCGTTGTCGTCGTCGCCCGTCGTCGTCGGTCGTCGTCAACGTGAGTCGTCCGTCGTCGTCGTCGTCGTCGTCGTCGTCGTCGTCGTCGTCGTCCTCCGCCCGTCGTCGTCGTCGTCGTCGTCGTCATCGTCGTCGTCGTCGGTCGGTGCGGGTCGTCGTCCTTTGGCGGCACGGCCGTCTTCGCCCCCGAGCACCAACCCACTCTGGCGCCGATTGGCATAAGCCACAGCAGGACACCGCCTCCGAGCAACGGGCGTACAGCCTGTACGTGCAGCTCGGCCGAGCGTGCGGTCATGGATCGCCGTGCACATCGGTCGGAAGAAGAGGGCAACGACGACGACGCCGACGTCGCCAGTCGTCGCCAGTCGTCGTCGTCGTCGTCGCCAGTCGTCGTCGTCGTCGTCGTCGTCGTCGTCGTCGTCGTCGTCGTCGTCGTCGTCGTCGTCGTCGTCGTCGTCCGCGGGTGTCGCTGGCCCGGTTGCGAACCAGCGGGGGGTCCGCCCCCCTGGGGGCCGTGCAAAACCAGGGCGTGGACGGAGGGTGCAGGAAGGAGGTTCGGGTATGGGATCGACTACAGATCGATCTACCTTAAAAACGTTGTGCAAGTCGACAACCAGTGTACACGCGTAGGCAGATTCTAAGAAAAAGGTGCATCAAATCTGTAATCGACCTCCGACTCGTAGGAGGGAGGTGGAGGGAGGGAGGGACGAGGGAGTGACGACACCTGTTGGCCTCTCGGGCCCCGCTCGGGGGCCTCTCGGGGACCCCTCGCGAGGGCCCGTGGGGGCTCTTTGAGGACCTCGTGCCTGGCTGTGGGCCTCTGGGGGTCGTCTCGGTGTCAGCGAGGCCAGCACTCGGAGGGGCTTGGGCCCTCTTGGAGCCCCCTTTGGAGGCCTTTTGGAAGGCCTTTTGGAAGGCCTTTGGGGCCGTCTTGGGCCCCTCCTGGGTGCCTTGGGGTTCCCAGGGGGGGGCCCTCTCAGAGCCACCTTGAAGCCTCAGGGGCCCTTCGGGGGCGAAACGGCGAGAAGGCAAGCGCCATCGACTCCCCAAACAGGATCTGCCAAACCGTGCTTGCACAACAGGGCCATCTGCCTCCTGCATGGCTGGTTGGGTCTGTCAGGGTTCGCCCGGTGGGCACCCGTGGGCGCTTCGCGGGCGCCTGCTGCGCCGGGTGGGTGCGTTGGCGTCCCGCTCGATGGGCGCCCAGGGGCGCGCGTCGTCGTCGCCTCGCTATTCTTGGACTGCTGCGCCGGAGTCTCGCGCAGTGGGTGCTATGCTTGCGCCCAGTCGGCCAGCTTGCAAGACGTACATCGCACCGCGTGGCTTGAAGCACACAGACTGTGTCACCAGATCCTGCACAACATTAAGTGTACCCCACAGGGTTGCGGCACGTAGCCTGCGCTGTACCATGTAGAGTGCGCCAGGGCACAAGACAGCGTGCACCCCATTGATTGAACGACGGCGGTTGTACCAGAAAGCTTGCACCGCATATTATGCACCACATCACATAGCGTGCACCACATTGATTTCACACAAGCTACACGCATAGCTTTCGACTCAGAGCAACCACCACATATATTGAATTGCGCAAAGTTCGACACATGGCATGCACCACCAGAGTGAAACACGTAGCTCGTACCACAAATTATGGCACATCAAGAGTACAACAATTCACTGGCTGGGATCGGCGCTGGCCAACATGTCGCACAATTGCTTAAAGTATATTGGCCTCTTGAGAGCCCTCCTGGGGCGTCTCGGGGCCGTCTTGGGCCGACCTGGGGGCTGCCTTTGCGTGCCTTGCCGGGAGTTGTCTCACATTGACGCGTCTTGACTAGCACTGTCTCGTCTTGCCACGCATTTTCGCAATTTCGCAGCACCAGCACCCTTTCAGCCACGAAAGTTCAAAGGCTATAGCCAAAGTTTGTAAAGTCATCTCCGTACATGTTCCATATCGTCTCCTTGGTAGCCTCACTCAGCTTGACGTCGCAATTGTGCGCGTATGTGTCGGAGTGCGTCAACTCTGCGTCGATCTCGAATTCTTGCATCAATCTGGCGAAGTCCTCTGACAGAGTCTCCATCTTCAGCACGCGCTGGCAGTAATTGCCAGGCTCGCCCAGAAACTTGCCGCCGTACACGTACTCGGACTGGGGGAGCAGATGGCAATCATTCGCTGTCACCCTCTTCTGGCGCTCCAGGAACGACGACTGCAGATACTCGTCGAACTGCGTCGAGTTGCAGTTGAGAAGCCTGAAAGAGGCCTCGCTGACCATCCGCTGCACAGGGTCCCGCACGATGCAGAACGTGGTGCAGCCCGCGTAGGCCTCCGCGAGTTGCACGTCCCAAGCGGGGGGCGTGTGCCACACGGAGCACCTCTTGGAAAAACCAGGAAGCATACTGACACCGCTACCCTAATTACGACGGGCCTCTCCTGGGGCGAGTTCTGGCCAGGATTTCGAGGAGAACCTCAGCTGTGCCGACGAGGGCCCTCCATGACAGGCAGCGGTCCGCTTACCTTTTCCTCACCTGACCTCTGCTGCTGGTTCCCCCACTGGTTAGCGGGCAGGCCCGGGAACTTGCAGCCAAGGCCCCTCTTGAACTGATCGCAGAAGAAGGAAGCGCTGCGTAAACATACACCGTTGAAGGTCTGAGCAGATTTCCTAGATCTGCGCTGGGCCCCCCTGTTGGAGTGTCGGGCGCCGCCCCTGGCGCGCTCCGCGCGCCAGGTAGAAGGTCCAGCGTCGATCTCAGATATTCGCGCGAATCTCTCCATGTTAATGTTTACGATGCTTTTCCTTATTCGAGATAGGGGTACGAACACCTCAGGCTCTCGTCGTGCATGCCCCATGCCCGGAGGCCGCCCGAGCGGGCCGAGGTGGCCCTCAGGGACACCTCCTCGACCGACGTGCCCGCGGTCTTGGGGATGTGCAAGAAATTGAGGCACCTGCGTGGCACGCCCGAACATTGTAAGGAAATGAATTTCTACGACGCCCACCAACACCTGTTGCCCAAAACCGACACCAGTCGCTGTTGGGCAGGAGACTTGCTGCCTCAAGTGGACGATGCCCGCAGCGAAATCGGCAGCGAACCCTGTTCAAAATGGGCAGAGACTGCTGCCAACCTTCGTCTCTAATGTGTCTGGGTCTGCTGCCAACCCTCCACTGTATTGCTCTTCCCTGAACGCTTCGCCGCTAATGGGGAGACAAAAAGGTACCGGCACCGCTACTCCCCAGACCTTTCTTGGGGTGCGTTGAGACCCGCATTTCGCGGTGAAACCAGCCGTGGCGAACAGGGCCTCCTGGAAGGCACAAGAAGAGAAAAACGAGGCAAGGGAGCGGTATTGGTACCCTTTCCTCCTTTGAATTTCCACACCGATGTCGATATCACCGACCTGCCACCCTTGCCCTCCAGCCGGTGCAGAGACTCGAGGCTCACCGACTGCCCCGCGCCCACTGTCACAAGCTGCCGGCCGGCGAGCTTCAGGAGGCCCTGCTCGCCAGCGCCGTGGGCGTCCTGCGGGTCCCCGTGGCCGTCCAGCTGCAGCGGGGCTGCTGCCGGCAGCAGCGCGCCGAGGAGCCACCTGGAGAGCCTCCGCGGCATCGGAGATCGAGGTTCGTTACATGGAAAATGGAGGAGTGCTGCGCCGGCGCAGCTTGAGCCAACATGATGGCCAACGATCCATGTTTGTCTGCAGCAGAAACGTTAACAATTACAAATGCTGGCCAACGTGGGCCCCAAGCATTGTATTCCTAGCAGTCTGTGTTATGCGATCGATGTTGTGCTATCAACGTAATGCACTTGGAATTGTCGAGTCCACTGCTCGCACAATCACCCCCCCACCACGGGCCCACAACTTGGTTTGCAAAACCCATGCGGCGGCGATTGCGCTGAGTGCTTGATGTTGGGTGGTGCATCTCTGCGGCCGCGCTAGCCTGCGCAGGCTCGCACGCACAGCGGCCAGCTAGATTGGCGCGACCGACGCCGCCGCGTTGGCGCTGATCGCTGGGCACTTCCCAGCGGGCACTTTCGTGCGAGTCGGCGACTTGGGCGGGTGCGGTATCATGCCTAATCGACAACGGTAACACGACGATGATAATAGCGACGACGGTGACGCTGATGACGATGACGATGGCAAGGCCAATGACGGCGCCGATGCTGATCATGCCGATGATGACGATGTCCTCGCGTCGGTGATGAACGTGCTGGAAGGGGTCCGACGTGCGCGCGCGACCAACGCGCGTGATTGGCCCGATTGGTACTATTTGACATGGATCGCGCCCTCGCCCCCCAGCACGAGCGCAAGCGTTGGAATGATTTCGACATGCGACGCGAGAGGCCCGCTTGGTCGTATTTGATGAAAAAGTTGCAACACCTTCAGTTTCCATGAGAATTCGCAAGAACGCGCGAAGACCTGTTTTGAACACTGCCGTTGCGAAACCATTTTTTGTTGTATGTGTTTTCGGGACGCTCAATGTTTAAATCCATACGACACCAAAATCCAAGGGGGCCAAGTATGGTCGCTAGACGGCCCCTGGATGAGCCCAAGGCAGCCCCGAGACGGCCCAGGTGGCCCCTATGAAAGCGCATCAAGGCTTTCCCGGAGGTGTTCGAAGCGTGGCCACAAAGAGTGCTGTGCTGGCACGGTGGCAGAACTTCCCCAGGCAACTGGCGCAGGATACCTACTTCCGGCGACCGACGAGTCTCGGCGAAAGTGGCTACAGCAATCGTTGCAACTAGGATCGGGCACAAGGTCTCACAACAATGACCTGATATCCTTCTCCAATGCCTCCCCACTTCCGTCCCAACCTCTTTCTGCCTATTCATCCTTCCGATCTTGCGCCTCCTCCTCCTCCTCCCCCGCCTTCTCCTTCGCGCCACCCTCGTCCTCCCTTGTCGCCCCTCCTGCTTCTCCATTTCGTCCCCCCCTTGCTCCCTCTCCTTCTTCACGTTATCCCCATCCTCCTCCTCCTCCTCATCCTGCTTTCTCCTCGTCCTCACATCTCTCGCATTCTGCCTGTCCGCCTCCTCCGCCTCATACTCCTTCTTCCTGCACGTGCCCCCAGACAGTCCGTCCTCGAACGCCCCAGTGCCGCCGAGTGCCCCAACACCCCCGAGCCTCCCCATCTCCATCCGAACATTCTCCTCCTCCGCCTCCCGTTGGCATTGCTCGCTGTGCATCTTGCAGGTTCCTCTTCCTCCTCCTCCTCCTCCTCCTCCTCCTCCTCCTCGTTCCTCTCCTTCTCCATCATCAGCATCATCATCAGCATCATCGTCGTCGTCATCGAAGTCATCATCATCAGCATCATCATCAGCATCATCATCGACAGCATCATCATCATCAGCAGCATCATCATCGTCATCGTCATCATCAGCATCAGCATCAGTATCATGATCATCATTACCATCATTATCATCATCACCATCATCATCATCCTCATCATCATCATCATCCTCATCATCATCATCATCA